GTGATCTTGACCTCCATGGTGACCTCTGAGGGTGTGATCCTGACCTCCATGGAGAGTTTCTAGGGTGTGATCCTGACCTCCATGGAGACCTCTGAGGGTGTGATTCTGACCTCTATGGAAAGTTTGAGGGTGTGATCCTGACCTCCATGGAGAGTTTCGAGGGTGTGATCCTGACCTCTATGGAGACCTCTGAGGGTGTGATCCTGACCTCCATGGAGACCTCTGAGGGTTTGACCCTGACCTCCATGGAGAGTTTCGAGGGTTTGACCCTGACCTCCAAGGAGACCTCTGAGGGTTTGACCCTGACCTCTATGGAGAGTTTGAGGGTGTGATCCTGACCTCCATGGAGAGTTTCGAGGGTGTGATCCTGACTCCATGGAGAGTTTCGATGGTTTGACCCTGACCTCCATGGAGAGTTTCGAGGGTGTGATCCTGACCTCCATGGAGAGTTTGAGGGTGTGATCCTTACCTCTATGGAGAGTTTCGAGGGTGTGATCCTGACCTCCATGGAGACCTCTGAGGGTTTGACCCTGACCTCCATGGAGAGTTTGAGGGTGTGATCCTTACCTCCATGGAGAGTTTCGAGGGTGTGATCCTGACCTCTATGGAGAGTTTCGAGGGTGTGATCCTGACCTCCATGGAGACCTCTGAGGGTTTGACCCTGACCTCCAGGGAGACCTCTGAGGGTTTGACCCTGACCTCCATGGAGAGTTTGAGGGTGTGATCCTGACCTCTATGGAGAGTTTCGAGGGTGTGATCCTGACCTCCATGGAGACCTCTGAGGGTTTGACCCTGACCTCCATGGAGAGTTTCAAGGGTGTGATCCTGACCTATATGGAGACCTACGAAGGTGTGATCCTGACCTCCATGGAGACCTCCGAGGGTTTGACACTGACCTCCATGGATAAACTTTACAGGAAGCTTTACAAGGTTGTGATGATGATGAGGTCCCAGGGAGTGATTGACGGGTGTGATCATGATTTCTAAACTTCACAGGAAGTGTTCGAGGTTGTGATGATGATGAGCTCCCAGGGAGTGATTGACGGGTGTGATCATGATTTCTAAACTTTACAGGAAGCGTTACAAGGGTGTGATGATGATGAGGTCCCAGGGAGTGATTGACGGGTGTGATCATGATTTCTAAACTTTACAGGAAGCGTTACAAGGTTGTGATGATGATGAGGTCCCAGGGAGTGATTGATGGGTGTGATCATGATTTCTAAACTTCAAAGGAAGCGTTACAAGGTTGTGATGATGATGAGCTCCCAGGGAGTGATTGATGGGTGTGATCATGACTTCAAAGCACTATATAAACTTGTCACCATAAGATGTGGTCATCATTTTACAAAATAAGAGGGAGTTCTTCTATGAGGGTGTGCTCAGGACCTCCATGTAGATTTAAGAAGGTGTAATGATAAGCTCTTGGGGATTGTTTAGAGGGTGTTATGATGAGCTCTTAATTAGGGTATGTTTGAAGAGCGTGATGAGCTCCCAGGGAGTATTTTGAGGGTAAGAATTACATGTACATGATTAGGAGTTCTCAGGGAGTGTTAGAATTACATGTACATGATTAGGAGTTCTCAGGGAGTGAGACATGCCATACTACTCTGGACCTGACACAGTGCTAGGGGAACTGAGGGGGATTATGTCTATGTCTACATACTTTGTATATATAGGATACTGTACTTGCCCCACATATCTATATCATTTCTTATCTCCCTGTTGCCATGGTTACTGAGCAGTTAGTGTGATATTTTGTCAGTGTGTATGTTCCAACAGGATTTCTGGTGTTATAACAGATAATATTCTTGTCTACTAGCAGTTTACAGCTGCTTAGCCAGAAAATACTGACTTAGCAATGTCTGACACATGTACCAGAAAGTACTGACTTAGCAATGTCTGACACATGTACCAGAAAATACTGACTTAGCAAAGTCTTATACTAAAATGTTATAACAATGTATTAAAATCCTTATAACATGGAACAAAGATTCTTGATTTAAAAGAAACTTTTTGATTTCTATCAAAGGTTATGGAAAGCATCTTTTATATATAAACTTTATTTTTTTACAACAATTATGAAACAAGTTATTTCAACTTATATTAATCACTCTTGTTGGCCCAGATGTAAGTGCGTGGAGGGTGAGATGGGGGTAAATGTGGGATGAAACCGGGGTACCCGGAGAAAACCTCCTTAGCCGAGCAGGTGACCCCATATCTTTTCGCATCCTAGTGGTCGAGCAGGTGACCCCATACCTTTTTTGCATCCTGGTGGTCGAGCAGGTGACCCCATACCTTTTCGCATCCTGGTGGTCGAGCAGGTGACCCCATACCTTTTCGCATCCTAGTGGTCGAGCAGGTGACCCCATACCTTTTTTGCGTCCTAGTGGTCGAGCAGATGACCCCATAGCTTTTTTGCGTCCTAGTGGTCGAGCAGATGTCCCCATACCTTTTTTGCGTCCTAGTGGTCGAGCCGGTGACCCCATACCTTTTTTGCATCCTGGTGGTCGAGCAGGTGACCCCATTCCTTTTTTGCGTCCTAGTGGTCGAGCAGATAACCCATACCTTTTTTGCGCCCTAGTGGTCGAGCAGACAACCCATACCTTTTTTGCGTCCTAGTGGTCGACCAGATGACCCCATACCTTTTTTGCGTCCTAGTGGTCGAGCAGATAACCCATACCTTTTTTGCGTCCTAGTGGTCGAGCAGATGACCCCATACCTTTTCGCGTCCTACCAAGGAAATCTGTGTCACCCGACCACCCCAAAAGCATCTTTTGATGAAAGGTAGGCAGCAAAAAGTACTTACATGTAAAGAGACATCAAACCTATCCCTACATGTACTTGTCCGCCCCATTCTGCTGATCAACATGCAAATTTGTACCACTACATCTGACCATACCACTACAGCAAAAACCTGTGTAATATGACACCTTTGTATTCTGAAATATTGTCCTTTCCGACATACACCTTTTATCCCATTTTGTTCAAAATCCATGAAATAAAACGTATTCCTATAGTACACCTGTTTCTTATAGAGCCAATTATAAGATCCCACAGGGAACAGATTACATGGAATTCATTGTGCATATATTTAGATGTCTATGAAATAAAGGTTGATAACATTTCAAAACAGATTGTGGGGAACATTGACTTTAAATTTCACAAGTTTTGCATACATTAGTATGGTATATAACACACCTTCCAAGCATATAACCTGTTCATGATAATGTCCCTTTTAAAGTTGGTGGGAACGACAAGATACTGGTAATTATGTATAATTTACTTGCACAATCAAGTGAGAAATTTAGTGTTGCTGGTTGTCTGATAAAATCTACGACACGTAAATTACGCATCAATGATATTTACATGAAATTGATGTGCATTGTTTATTCCGGGTAATTTTTAAGATTCTTCATTTAGAATAAAGAAGGAGAATGATCATATGATCGTTTAGTTAGCTTAGTTAAAGAACTACATATGTGTATGTGATGAAGAATTACATACACATGTAGGTAAAATCTGTGTATTAATGTAGGAGCTAAATTTAGGACTGTGTATATTGTGGTGGCTGTCCTCATAAAATGGATTGCAGTGGTGTACTTACCGTAAATACCCAAATAATTCCTCATAGCACGGCTTCGTTAGACCCATATTAGAGTATCTTTTCCACTTCCCAAGATTAGCTTTGACTCTTGGCCACCACCACTGTAGACCATAATGGACTTATCTAGTTCAATGCATGGTAGAGTTGATTTAAGTTACATAGGAGTGAAAGGGATAATGTCAAAGAGTCAACCAAAAGTCCTGCATATCCAAATTCTGGGTCTCCCTTTTTTGCAAATGTTTGAGTGTATAAAGCATCATTAGTAAAAAATACCTGTCTCGGTGATAAATATAAAACCTAAAAACTGAAATAAACCAAACTTCCACCAGGTCCTTTGTAGTTTTCTATGTTAATTGACCTTGATTGTTCTTCTGTACATTTGATGGTTTATAGTGTTCCCATTTCTTAATCATAAACCATATTTATACTCCATAACCTACGAAACTTAACACACAAACGTTAGAATCTCTGGATGATGTGCTTAGTTTAAACACATTGCAGTTGTTATAAGTACGAAGGAATTTGACCTCCGGTTTAAAGGCTGCTGCCATACCTTCAGTTCCATCACATTACATATCGAATCCTAGCCATTCAAATTTGTTCCCTGTTATGAAAGCTTATTTCATGAAACGTTGGATCTTTTTTGTGTTACTTTGACATATTTCAAGTTCTAGGATAAACTTTTTAATTTAACTTTAAGTTAGATAAGAAAAAATAGCTTACCTCATATAAATATCAAAGCATGAAATGATACCAGTTTAAATGTATTAAATTTAACAACAAAACAAACTATCAATCTAACTTTGACACAATTATCTGTTTTCATTTATAAAAAGATTCACATTTAAAGCTAACTATACCTAGATACACACATGATGTATATATGTACTAGGACACAGTTTTCTAAAGCTTGGTGATCTTTACTATCGGCAAATTAAAAGAATCTTTCACCTTGTATAGTATTAGGAATGTTGAAATACAGAATGAAATTGCATGTACAAGGATCTACGTTAATCATAAACAAGAAATCAAGGAATATTTATAAAAGCTCGGAGATATTTGAACAGCTTTTCTGGCTGTTTTTATTGATTTTGGCTCTACTGCAAAGGATCTTGCATGAGATTACACTTCACATGAGTTTACACTTCACATGAGTTTACACTTCACATGAGTTTACACTTCACATGAGTTTCATGAACATTTTTCATTTGATCGAACATGGAAAGCAAAAATAAAAACTTTATGTGTTTCATAGATTTCATATTAAAAAGAAACTCATGTAAGATCCTTTTTTATCACATGCTCTGGATTTTTTATGAAAAAACATCAAAACATTTTTTTTAGGCTATAAAAAATACAACAACTTAAATCTTTAATTGTAATCTCTCAATTTTAGGAATTCCATGTTGCCTATGTCTTCATCAAGATGGCCAACTCTCCTCGTCCAGGGGTCTGGGCACTGGAGCGCTCTGTTGACAACGGACAGACATGGAAGCCGTGGCAATACTTCGCCGACACGCCCAGCGACTGTAACAAGTTCTTCTCTGTAGAAGCTGACACCAATCTGGACGCCGACGATTCTGTCATCTGTGCCACTCAGTTCTCCAAGATCGTACCACTTGATAACGGAGAGGTAAGGGTTTCTATTTAGTTATTCTGCACTTTGAGGGACAGTTAAGATAAAAATAATTGGAAATGATTATCAATTACACTAAACATTTTTAAGGGATCAAATTAAAATATTAACAGTCTATTCATTTGGTTTCAATTTCAGACATGTCTTTATTATTATAAAAAATAATGTCTAACAGCACTGTATGACGAATGTTTGAGACTGAATACATGTATTGTCCTCCAGAAGCAGAGTAAAACCTGACAGGATAGTTCACCTTCAAACAACTGCTCTAACATATCCAGTATTCCCTATTAGAACCATGGGGTTGTCCCGATTAGAACCATGAGGTTGTCCCGATAAGAACCATGGGGTTGTCCCGATTAGAACCATGGGGTTGTCCCGATTAGAACCATGGGGTTGTCCCTATTAGAACCATTAGGTTGTCCCTATTAGAACCATGGGGTTGTCCCGATTAGAACCATGGGGTTGTCCTAATTAGAACCATGGGGTTGTCCCGATTAGAACCATGGGGTTGTCCCAATTAGAACCATGGGGTTGTCCCTATTAGAACCATGGGGTTGTCCCGATTAGAACCATGGGGCTGTCCCTATTCGAACCATGGGGTTGTCCCGATTTGAACCATTGGGTTGTCCCTATTAGAACCATGGGGTTGTCCCTATTAGAACCATTAGGTTGTCCCTATTAGAACCATGGGGTTGTCCTTATTAGAACCATGGGGTTGTCCCGATTGGAACCATGGGGTTGTCCCTATTAGAACCATGGGGTTGTCCCTATTAGAACCATTAAGTTGTCCCGATTAGAACCATGGGGTCCTGATTAGAACCATGTGGTTGTCCCGATTAGAACCATGGGGTTGTCCCTATTAGAACCATGGGGTTGTCCCGATTAGAACCATGGGGTTTTCCCTCTTAGAACCATGGGGTTTTCCCTTTTAGAACCATGGGGTTGTCCTGATTAGAACCATGGGGTTGTCCCTATTAGAACCATGGGGTTGTCCCGATTAGAACCATGGGGTTGTCCCAATTAGAACCATGGGGTTTTCCCCGATTAAAACCATGGGGTTGTCCCGATTAGAACCATGGGGTTGTCCCGATTAGAACCATGGGGTTGTCCCGTTTAAAACCATGGGGTTGTCCCGATTAGAACCCTGGGGTTGTCCCGATTAGAACCATGGGGTTGTCCCGATTAGAACCATGGAGTTGTCCCTATTAGAACCATGAGGTTGTCCCAATTAGAACCATGAGGTTGTCCTGATTAGAACCATGGGGTTGTCCTGATTAGAACCATGGGGTTGTCCCAATTAGAACCATGGGGTTGTCCCGATTAAAAACCATGGGGTTGTCCCGATTAGAACCATGGGGTTGTCCCTGTTGGAGACCACTTGCTTTGAGATACCAACTTGAGCAAATATTCAAAGTAAAATGTGTATACCCACTTTAGCTCAAGTTGAACTTTGACCCATGCACAGGTGTTGATATTTTACTTTGATTGGTGTGACGACAGAGCCCAGATTTTGGGGGTGGGGGGTCTCTCCAGGCACATTGTTATCAAGTCTGGTTTGGGTTATGGTCATCAAAGTAGGTTCTGGTTATTTTTTTAAGTAAAAAGCTGAAAAGCAATTAAATTCAAAATACAGACCCGTTGAGCCTCTTGTCTGACTTGAAGCCAAGTGAAGTGTTATGTATATAAATGATTATTTATAAATTATATATACATTCCACTGAAAATAAATAGTAGGGAGATCATGCATTGTGTTTTGACTAAGTTAGATATACATCAGCTATCTAGACTCTTCAGATATTGCCCAATGAAAAGGATTGTGTGTGTAGAATCGCCAGTAGGATATGAACAGGTTTGGGAGTAGTTTGATAAAGACACACTTCAGCTGAATCCACATTTAATAAAAATACAGGACTAAGAAAAGGGATCTCTCATTTCAGAGCTAAATTGTTATTTTTTCTTTAAATTTCAAGACCTGTTTTCTTGAAAGTTCACGATCTTATTTCATGAGTTATTGGCTCTTTCCGTTCATGTTCAGGACATGCTTTATAATTATAAAGCAGCTATGATAGGAAGTGAATGTTAAAAACTTAGGTATGGATAATAGAGTCCGGTGTAGAGGAACTACTGGAAAACAACTATAACTATAAATCTTATTTCCAACACTTGAGTGTCCCCTGTCTAAAGTGACCCCCACATATCCAGAAAACTGTATTAACCAGATGTCAAACTAGGATCAGGGTGTACATTTCTATATAAACCTGTCTGTTCTGAAGTAATCCTTGTTGAATTCTCGTTTACCTAAGGCTGGTTTCAATCTTTGAGCACAAGAATGGCAAAATTATCTGTAAATATATACATTACCTGGAAATTTAACACTAACGAGAAGTTAAAATCACCTTGAAAATGTATAAAAGGACAAACGTTGTGTTTTTTCTGGGGTCATCTTTCTACCTCAGATAACAGTATGACTAAAGAAAACATTGACCTCCCGGGTGTTGTATGTCGGGAGGCCTCAAATGACCACCAACAAAAGGGAGAGATGAGACTGCCTTTCATTTCAACGAAAACCCACTGACTCGACAGAAAAGTTTATGTAGTGTATTATACATACAAAGTAGTATGGTAAACTAGGTCACATCGTAAGGGGATAACTAACTACTTTAGGTTAAACTCCTCGTGTGAATTCACAAAATATAGGTCAACCATATTGTATACAAATGTTGGGACCTTAGAGGGTGTGGAATTATGACATATATGACCATATTTCTTACATTTATTTACTAAACTTGCATGTTTAGGGTTTGTTGAAGTTAGATGCTTGTTTTAGAATGTGATGAAGTGGACATGTTCACATTGAGTTATTATAAATATTTATATTTGACAGAAAAGAAAAAGAAATGTAGGATTTCAGGGATTTATGTTTTTTTTTGGAAATTGAACCTGGATCCAAATTTAAAAATCATTGGCAAAACTATATGCATAAAAAAAAATTAAATTTCAAATGTAAATAAATTGTGAAATGGTGGAATACATTATGCTATTTTGTTATCACATGAAAAATGTGTAATCTTCTGAAAAGATTATCAGAACAGACAGAAAATTTCACATGGAAAATAATAAATTGTTATAAAGGCTAAGTTTTTTATGAACACAAACAGGAATTGAAAACTTATTTTAAAAGCTTTCGAAAAACATCTGTTTCCTTTGTCAAGAAAAGGGAGAAAAAAAGGGATATGATGAAAATCTGGAATTTACTCTCTGATATAAAAATTTCTTCTATCAATAGGTTTAAAATGTACCCAGACAAGGGCCTCTAACTCAAAGTTCTAGGGGACAAATTTAGAGGTTTCGTCTCCTTTTCTATATTAGTTTACTAGTTTGATTGCGAAATTTTGATTTAAAATATTGTTTAAATTTCGTAGAATAGTTGTTGGCATTACCTATAGGCTGCAACAAGTATGTGATCCACAAATGTTTAAAAAGGTGTTAATTAACAAACAGAACATACTTGATATCTTACACGAAAAGAGTAATTATCATAAAATGTATTAATCAATAAATAAAGTCTGTTTAATATGTGATTTAAATATCCAGCAAAGATGATGGGTCATTAGGCACAGAACATCAATTTTCTATTTTTCAAAAGAACCCTGGTTTTGTTTCACCAGATTGTCGTGTCCCTGGTGAACAACCGCCCGAATGCCATGAACTTTTCATACGCGGAGACGCTTCAGGACTGGACCAAAGCCACCAATGTCCGACTACGTCTGCTTCGAACCAAAACACTGCTGGGACATCTGATGGCTGTCGCGCGTCAGGACCCCACCACTACTCGGCGGGCAAGTACCAAAATAAAGCAATGATATCTATCTAGTCAAATTGTTTCAACAAAAATGAACAAAAGATAAAAAAATGAATTCCAAACTTCATTATATGGTATAAATACTTTGTTAACCTTCATCTTAATATAGAGATATATATATAGTTAGTACCGTTAAGCTGGTGATATGTTGATTTCACTTTTAACCCTTTCAACACCATAGACCATAATGGACTCATCCATATCAATGCATGGTAGAGTCTACTAAAGTTACATAGGGGTGAAAGGGTTAAGTACAGATATGAGACCTTTTTATAGCAATTAATCATTGGAAACTTGATTTATTTTAAATAAACTGAAGTGTTATAGGATCTGAGCCAAATTTAAATAAAAAAGTGTCAGTAAAATTGATCAGATGTCATCATATTGATGTTCAACAGTTTAAGATATGAATTATAATTGAAAGGGGTTCGAAGGGACCTTGAAAAATGCTTGAAATTATGATGGGGCATTGAAACAGCTTAAATTTTATAATTTAAAACAAATCGATACTGGAAAAAGGCTTTAGCTTTTTCCTTGTAAAGAATTTGTTTACAATACGAATACATTAAAATATAAGTGTTCAACTGATCCCAATCAACAGTAAATAAATGAAAAACTGGCAAAATTTCAAAGATTTAAGAAAATAGAAGGAAAGTTCTAGCTTTGAAATAATGGACCTTTGGATGACAAAGTAAATCATTGAGTAGATTTCTGTCGATTAAAGAACCCTGGTTAAGTGATGATTGTATGTTACAGTATTACTACAGTATCAAGGACATCTCAATCGGCGGCCGATGTGTGTGTAACGGTCACGCTGAGAGCTGTGTGAGGAGCGACCCCCTGAACCTTAACAAGCTTGTGTGTCAGTGTGAACACAATACGTGTGGCGACCAGTGTGACCGCTGCTGTCCTAACGCCATACAGAAAAAATGGATGCCGGGACGCACTGACAAAGTCTTCCAGTGTGAAAGTAAGTGACAGGTTCATAAACAGTTGTCTCCACTGGATAGTCTAGAGTTTCGTGATATTTCACTATTATATATCGTCTCCTGATTCGTAGAGAATCGCCATTTAAATACGGTGTTTGTTCCTTGATCTAATAATATGACCATCCAAGTTCTTGTGACAGCTGTGACATCACATGTTATAGCTTGTGACAGCTGTGACATCACATGTTATAGCTTGTGACCGCTGTGACATCACATGTTATAGCTTGTGCCCCCTGTGACATCACATGTTATAGCTTGTGACAGGTGTGACATCACATGTTATAGCTTGTGACAGCTGTGAGATCACATGTTATAGCTTGTGACAGCTGTGAGATCACATGTTATAGCTTGTGACAGCTGTGAGATCACATGTTATAGCTTGTGACAGCTGTGTCATCACATGTTATAGCTTGTGACAGCTGTGACATCACATGTTATAAAGACCAAATGACAATGTTGTTGAATTATTAAAAAAAGGTTTTGCTCCTTGAACTGAAACTAAGTAAATCACACTATTAATCTTATAGTTATGCATTGACTTTTAGGGAGAAAACAAATTCTATGTTTGTCTTTTCAGCCTGCCAGTGTTACAGACACAGTGACGAGTGTGTTTACGATGAAGAGGTGGACAAACTCGGCCAGAGTATTGACGTACAGGGCAACTACATCGGAGGAGGCGTCTGTCAGAACTGTCGGGTAGCTACACAATGTTATATCTCCAATGATTTTGAATTGTTGAAACTGGGTGAATGGTTCAAAACTTAAATAGGATGGAAAGTAAAGGTTCCAAATCAAAATCACAGTGATTCAATCTGTAGGTTTTGCTGAAGGCATTCAGAAATTGAGATTCCAAGAATTGTGAGCTTCCATTATAATGAAGGTTTTGTGATGGGAAGTCCTTCCCGTGAGTTTTAGGAAGTACACCATATTTGGTCTCTTACCGAGGCTGACTTTGTACATCAAGTGTCTTTCTGTCAGACCTGTGTCGGTAAGAGGTCCCATACAATAAAGATCAAACTGGGGTGTTAGATATCGTAACCATGCTGGGGCGCTGTCCCACCGATTACAATATAGGTCTGTCTTAAATGAGCAGGATTGCATGGCAATGCTGTCAGAGACCTGATATTTCAGAATCGCCATCAATATGAAAAAATGAGGATTTTCATTAAGAGTTTAAAGTAAGTTCCTGTCAAGAAGTGGTATGACAGAAAGAGAAATTTTGTTACTTACAGAACTTTATTTCTGATGTAGCCTAGCATGATCATGGTCAGTGTTACAGTAAACAGTCGTATCAGACTCTGTAACTTACCACCATTGTAAGGAGGTTGTTCTGATGGAGACTTTCTATTTATAGCACAACACTATGGGTGTGAACTGTCACCAGTGTGTACCTGGGTACTACAACCCGTACGGTGTACCACTCGACTCCCCGGAGGCCTGTACCCGTGAGTACCACAGATCATTAAGGATATAATTAATAGCCAATCCATAAAGAAAATTCAAAATGAGTCTCCTTTTTAAAAGAGTTCCACTATTAAAAAACCTGTGAAAATCTATCTTCTATGAATTCCAGTTTGACCATTGTTAAAAGATAGATAACACATTTGACAGGTACACAGTGGTGTGTACATTGACAACATTTAGATCATTCTAAACTATTCCTTAAACGTTATTAGTATTTATGTTATTTACCACAAATGTAGAAGGATTGGACAGTGGAACAGTATACGTTTGTTCAATATAGCAGTGTAAAGTTGGTGGGACATATCACAGTATAACTTAAATGTAACATTGTAAGTTAGTGTCTTTTGAGTAAAAGTTTCACAAGTCAGGGAACTAAATATTTCAACTTCACACAAGTTTGAATATAAGTTGACATGGATATGATTTTGTGTAAACTCCTTGTATTTCAGCGTGTGTGTGCGAGGGTGCCAAGTACACAGGAGAATGTGAGGCGGGTACTGGACGATGTCTGTGTAGCATGGAGTATACAGGACTCGACTGTGACAGGTACGTCTAGTAGGAGTATCGTACCAGCAGGGATTCACATGGCTACACGTTACAGAACATTGGCATGTCTTACCAGTTAAAACATAGAACCTGTATGCCTTTTACAAGTGACCTGTTACAGTCTTATTAGAAATTGTCTGCAATACTTACGAGGCTAGCAATCTCTGACCTATAGTTTGTTTTAGTTGTATTTCGTAAGATTTCTCTGAGAAGAACATAGTAACCAATGAAAATTTGTACTGTGTGTTTGTAACTGGTAAAAAGAAAATATCAAGAAGTAAGATACAGTAGAAATTGTGTGTTAGCGGAATGAAATGTTTGTAGATAAATGTTCAGAACAGGGAGGAAAAACCCAACATGTTTTGATGTATTAAGCGATATTTTTCATCAAAACGTTAAAAGGCAGGTAGCATGACCCTCTTGTTTACTCTGCTGTTTTTGTTGTTACAGCTGTAGTTTTGGTTACTATGGTTACCCAGACTGTATACCATGTGACTGCCACCTAAACGGTACTGAGGGGACCGTGTGTACAGTAGGTGGAGGACAGTGTCCCTGTAAAGAGGCGTACGTCGGTAGCCGCTGTGACATGTGTGCTTTTGGCTTCTACAACTTCCCCAACTGTAAATGTGAGTATATATTAGTATATAAAACATATGAAAATGGTTCTGTTAATTGTGGTAATTGTTAATAAATGTAGGCATTTGCCTTCTCTGTTTGGTTTATGTCCTGACTTCTAGTGTGTTCATAAACTTCTAAAAGACACGAGTGAAACAGTAAAGGCCATCCAGGAGCACTGTCTCAGTACTTATAGAAAAGACATCATCGTATTGTAAATTTGTCATAAAGAAACTGTGAGGATCGATGCTTGGTGGAGTTAAGATATTTCAGGAGAATGACTGGAGAGTTCAATCAATTTTATAGCACACCAATATAGGAGTATAACTTCATTGATCAATTATTCATCAATTAGCCCCCACTTAACTGTAATGAGACAACTGTGATTCAGAAAAAAGGCCCTACTTGTTTAAATCATGATGATGTTTTGGTTACAGCCTGCCAGTGTGATTCTACTGGGTCCTCCAGTAATGTGTGCGACGTGGAGACTGGACAGTGTCCATGCCAGCCCAACTACTCCGGACTGGAATGTAACCAGTGTGCCAATGGGTACTACAACTACCCAGAGTGTAGAGGTCAGTAGGTCAACTTTAGTGTAGAGGTCAGTAGGTCAACTCAGTAGATCAACTACCCAGAGTGTAGGGGTCAGTAAATCAACTTAAGTGTAGAGGTTAGTAGGTCAACTTTAGTGTAGAGGTCAGTAGGTCAACTTTAGTGTAGAGGTCAGTAGGTCAACTCAGTAGATCAACTACCCAGAGTGTAGAGGTCAGTAGGTCAACTTTAGTGTAGAGGCTGGAAGGTCAACTAAGTGTAAAGGTCTGTAAGTCAACTACCTTGAGTTAAGAGTTCAGCCACTTTGAATGAACAGTCGGTGAGTTTACGTGTTTGATCACATCGTCAAAACTGTTTAGGAGAGGTTCGAAGAATTTAAAATGTTAACATTAGAAATATTTGGTGACAAAAAACAAAATGATGGGAAGTAGGACAAAAAAATGTTCAAAGATTATAAAATATTCGAAATTGCTAAACACTGGAAAAAAAATAAATTTTACAAATATTTTCAAAGTTGACCAGAGCAAAAATAATTGAACCTTTAATGTCAGGAATATATCTTTTCCTGATTCTAGAAAATTATCATTTTTGAGTAAGTTGTACACCAGTTATAAAAACCTTTGATTAATGTTTGTTTCTGAAGTAAAACAAGCTTTCTTGAAGTGATAAACTGTTTTAATGTGAGAAAATGTTTTGTTTTCAGAGTGTGACTGTGTGGTAGCAGGTACAGAGGAGGGTATATGTGACAAAGACACGGGTGATTGTCTGTGTAAGACTAACTACAAGTACCCGCGCTGTGATCGCTGTGCCCAGGAATATTACGGATTCCCGCTGTGTCAAGGTAGGTGTATATCTGTACAGGTGTTTTAAAATGTTTAACATCATACATGTTCTCTTTTGCCAGTTTACACAGTTCATATGACATTCTGCCCTGTAATATCAGTTGATGTTTACACATTTGGTATGACATTCTGCCCTGTAATATCAGTTGATGTTTACACAGTTCGTGTGACATTCTGCCCTGTAATATCAGTTGATGTTTACACAGTTAGTATGACATTCTGCCCTGTAATATCAGTTGATGTTTACACATTTTGTATGACATTCTGCCCTGTAATATCAGTTGATGTTTACACAGTTCGTGTGACATTCTGCCCTGCAATATCAGTTGATGTTTACACAGTTAGTATGACATTCTGCCCTGTAATATCATTTGATGTTTACACATTTTGTATGGCATTCTGCCCTGTAATATCAGGTGATGTTTACACAGTTTGTATGACATTATGCCCTGTAATATCAGTTGATGTTTACACAGTTCGTATGACATTCTGCCCTGTAATATCAGTTGATCCTTTGGTATAGATAGTTGGTTCACTGTCAGTCATGCATTAATGATCTCAGATATTCTGAAGGACGACAAACAAACATCCATTCCATTAAAGAGAATGGCCTGGCATATGTTAACAATGTAACTTGTCCAAAGAAGGCCCTGTATAATCTAGAACCCTGTACAAACAAGATATTCACTTAAGGTCCACTATACACTATAAACCTTCAAAAACCAACCCTAAACTAGACATTGAATCTGTGTAGCTTGAAAATCTTGTGTTCTGTTTAGACAGGTGTCACTGGTGTTCTGTTTAGACAGGTGTCACTAGTTCTGTTTAGACAGGTGTCACTGTGATGTTCTGTTTAGTCAGATGTCACTGTGATGTTTTGTTTAGACAGGTATCACTGGGATGTTCTGTTTAGACAGGGATCACTGTGATGTTCTGTTTATACAGGTGTCACTGTGATGTTCGTTTTAGACAGATGTCACTGTGATTTTCTGTTTAGACAGGTGTCCCTGTGTTGTTCGGTTTAGACAGATTTCACTGTGATGTTCTGTTTAGGCAGGTGTCACTGTGTTGTTCTGGTTAGACAGATGGCACTGTGATGTTTTGTTTAGACAGGTATCACTGTGATTTTCTGTTTAGACAGGTGTCCCTGTGATGTTTTGTTTAGACAGGTGTCACTGGGTTGTTCTGTTGAGACAGATGTCACTGTGATTTTCTGTTTAGACAGGTGTCGCGGTGGTTTTGTGTTTGGACAGATGTCACTGTGATGTTTTGTTTAGACAGGTATCACTGGGATGTTCTGTTTAGACAGGGGTCACTGTGATGTTCTGTTTATACAGGTGTCACTGTGATGTTGTGTTTAGACAGGTGTCACTGGTGTTCTGTTTCGACAGGTGTCACTAGTTCTTTTTAGACAGGTGTCACTAGTTCTTTTTAGACAGGTGTCACTGTGTTGTTCTGTTTAGACAGGTGTCACTGTGGTGTTCTGTTTAGACAAGTGTCACTGTAATGTTCTGTTTAGACAGGTGTCACTGTGATGTTCTGTTTAGACAGGTGTCACTGTGATGTTCTGTTTAGACAGGTGTCACTGATGTTCTGTTTAGACAGGTGTCATGGTGCGGTTCTGTTTAGACATGTATCACTGTGCTTTTCTGTTTAGACAGGTGTCACTCTGGTGTTCTGTTTAGATAGGTGTCACTGATGTTCTGTTTAGACAGGTGTCACTGTGGTGTTCTGTTTAGACAGGTGTCACTGTGATGTTCTGTTTAGACAGATGTCGCTGTGGTGGTTTTGACAAGTTACACTGTATTTGAGACTGTTGTATTTACAGAGTGTCAGTGCGCCGACCCTGGTTCCTACAGTAGAGTGTGTCGCGAGGACGGCCAATGTGCCTGTAGCACAAATTTTGCTGGAAAACAGTGTTCTCGCTGTGCAGCAGGCTTCTACCGGTACCCAGAATGTATGAGTAAGTATCAGTAGGTCAAAACATAGCAAGCCAGGTTGACAGGAAATATTGTGAGTCTTTACATTTTGTTGGATGAAATTTGAATTTGAATTGATTCACAAACAAACTTTTTGCTTGTGCTGAATGGTGCTGGCATAGAATTAAAAGGAAGCCTGTTTAGCATCAAGACTAGGAAATAATGAATATAAAATGGTATATTATATACAAAGGGAAAAAGGTTTGTAATTATAATTGAATAATTGATGTATTTTAGCATGATGTGATACTTATTCAATATTCCTTAGTTTACCTAATTCAGTAAGACTATATATTAAATTGCTATGGTGAATAGTTAGAATGGAAGGACTACTGGTGGGTCTAGATACAAGAACTTTATTTTAAGTCGCATACAGGTAAACAAGGACCTTAGCTCTTGAGAGCTATTATTGCGACAAACATATGTAAAATAACAATAACATATTATATTACAAGTAAAGGGAGATAATCACATATATTAATAAAAAGCAGTAATAATCATCACAGAAAAAGAAAGTATCATATCCCAGGTTTCTAAGTGATTGGGAGTCCCCTACCTACAAAGGCCCGCAGGATATGACCCTTTTGAAACAATTAATATATAAAAAATAGTGTTAATATATGAAAAACATTAAATGGAATCACAGATAGGTAGTATTCAGTAAATAAAAGGCATAGTTAATAGTCTACAATATATCACACAAGAGTTAATAGTCTATAATATATCACACAAGAGTTAATAGTCTATAATATATCACACAAGAGTTAATAGTCTATAATATATCACACAAGAGTTATTAGTCTATAATATATCACACAAGAATTACTTAGGACCTAGGATTAAAACACTATGAAGTGGAATATACATACAATGCTAATATAGCAAAGAATAAAATTGACAGAATATACACTATTATAGTGTGAATTAAACAAAATTTATGAAGTTTTAAAAAAATAATATTTTAGAATAAATGGAATTAAAATACAAATAAGATGCTGCAAACATGTAGAATAGAATTAAAAGATAAACTAAATGAAATAAGACAATAATAGTATCACACAATCCAAAATGTCAGGTGGCAGAGGTAACCAGGGCACAGTATGAAGTATCAATCTTTGCAGATATTGCAAAGGCAGATGGGGCCATCCCAGGAATGGAGCAGCCTCCTGAATTCTTTAAAGTTTTCAACATTTCAGAAGTCATTTGGGAGACTGTTCCACACAAGGGCGGCCTCAAAAGCAAACGATGACTGTGTGAGTCAGTGTCTTTTATCTCCATTTCAGCTTGTGAGTGTGACTTGTATGGAGCCATTGGACAGTCCTGTGACCAGCTGACGGGGCAGTGTGAGTGTGCTCCCACGTTTGAGGGGCTCATGTGTAACAGGTGTAAGGAGGGGTTCTACAACTACCCTAACTGCGAAGGTAGGCGTGGACGTGGCTTGTATAGATAGCTTATAAGTCATCTCAAAGTGAAACTTGGAATAATGAAAATTCAATATATAATTCAGGGGTTTCTTTTGGCAATTTAATGTGTCTATAGATCATGATAATAGAAAATGAAAATTGCTGAAAATTGCTGAAAATATTACCTGTAACTGATTATTGAATATGAATAAACTGACACCAAGTGATACATTCACCTATTCATCGTTTACTAATGAAATCTTGTTTGGTTTTGAAAAAAAATGGCCTTCTCTACTAAGGATGAAAAATATCCAACACTTAGATTCAAAGAACTTTTACTGGGGAACAGCAGTCGTTACTCCTGGTGTCAGCATTGCAGTAATGGTAGATAGACTATCTGTTGTTCTTCAGATAGAGAGAATTATAATATGACATACTTGTTAAAAGAAAGGTTCAACAATTTGTTGAATAACATCAAGGTCAAACGTCACCCTATATGAACTGTAATGACCTTGGTGATTACAGAGTGCAACTGTAACCCTGCCGGAGCAAAGGAGATTCCAGGCTACCCCCTTGGAGGGTGTGGTGTTGTTACACGTGGGCTGTTGTGCGAGTGTAAGGAGAAGGTGATGGGACGTATCTGTGACCAGTGTCAACCAGGGTACTACAACCTCAACAGGAACAACCCTCAGGGATGTCAAGGTGAGTGACCTACAGGGGTCAAGGTCACTGTTCTGGCTTAAGATGTGGTCAAGTTAAATGTACAGACGTCAAATGGCAGGAAAAAAATATCTTTAGAGGTCAAGGTCAGCTTACTAGCCTCTAAAGGTCAGGTTAAGTTTACCTGTGTTAGGTAGTCTTGGTCAGTGTATTAACCTGAAGGTAGTCAATGTCTATGTACATTAGGGTAAAGGCCAGTAAACTCGGCAAGCTGTCGGGGGGAGGGNGGGGGGGGGGGGGGGGACGTTAAGCCTCTTCGAAGGTTGTGATAAATCTATCAACTTTCAGTTGTTCAAGATTAGTGTAGAGGAAAGGTAGGAGTTTTACTGACTTCATAAGGTCAAAGTCACTTTACTGAAATTTAGCAGGGCAAGGTCAGAGCATCAATCACCATGGAAACAGTTTTCTAGTCAAGGTCATTGTACCAACATATAGAAGGCAAGGTCATTGTACCAACCTATAGGAGGCGAGGTCTCTGTACCAACCTATAGGAGGCAAGGTCTCTGTACCAACCTATAGGAGGCAAGGTCTCTGTACCAACCTATAGGAGGCAAGGTCTCTGTACCAACCTATAGGAGGCAAGGTCATTGTACCAACCTATAGTAGGCAAGGTCATTGTATGAACTTACAGGTCGGCTTTTATTAGGTCACCTGAGCTTTTGCTCAAGTGACCTATTGCTATCCGTTTTCGTCCGTCGTCGTCCGTCGTCCGTCGTCCGTCGTCCGTTAACATTTTACATTTCAAACTTAAAGTCAAGTTCTGCTGGGCCGATTGAACTGAAAGTTGGTAGGAATGATCACCTCATGGTCCTGACAAAGTGTTGTTATTTTTCGGGTCAATCAGAAATACAATTTGGCTGCCATGGCCGCTATTTTGCTACTAAATTCTAATAGGCCGATCTCACTTAAAATTGGTCTAGGAATGATCAGCTCATGGTCCTGACAAAGTTAAGTTAACATTATACTATTTTTTACTCAAATTGGTACATATTTCAACAACAACAAAAAATACTGTAGACTCAGGTGACTGTTAGGCATGGGCCTCTTGTTTTGTTTTTCATGATAGTATATACAGAATTTGAAGAATCTTTTCAATTGATTTAAATGTTTAGTTTAAACATGTTTTGGACCAAATATTTCATATTGCATGTACATTTATATAACATCTGAACAGGTTGTTCAAAGATTTCAGCAAAGGCAAAAACAAATCATGTTCAAAGTTAAATTGGAGTGAATCCCTGACAATATTTGTTTTTGCGTAGTTTTGTATAGTTTTGTATGGTTAGACATGTTCCGGTACTCAAACTCAATTTAAACATCTATCATAATGTTAACAAATTGAATTTCCCAAGAACAAAATTGTTGCTGTACATTTGCAAAAAAGTTTTACAAGAATTAACATTTTTTTAAACAGTAACTAAAAATTGAAGTCCTATCATTCAGTGTTGTTCGTTGTCTTCAATTGAGGATCACATTGGAATTTTAGAAGTGGATTTCGACAAATTTGAATTTATTCCTGACCAAATCTTTGTTTATCCATTGAAATCTTTATAAGTCTTTGAACAGCCAGGAATAAATGATTACATAACTCGACTAATGTGAGAGGTGTTTATAACATTTTCAGAGCTGCCATTCCGTGGTTGTAAGTAACGTACGTACAGTCAAATCTTGTGTCGCAATGTTACTATCAAAATATTTTGACACAAACAGAATACAACTTTCCTACTATGAATTTAACTGTTTTTCACTGCTTATTTTTTTTCCAATTTTTATACATGAATCAATTGTTTTCTTTCCAAATTTGTCACAATTTTATGAAATCTTTTGTTAATTGATAAATGTTGTTGACACATCTGATTTGACTGTATGTGATAGGGTTCCACAGTAATGAGGACTTGTGAAGTGCTTTTAAATAAACTGATGTATACAACCATACTTCATACATATTAATGTAATATTAACTGTCGAGGGTATGTGCCCTTTTAGAAATTCACATATTATAGAACTGTCATAGAGAACCAGTCATATATCATCGTTTAGGACCCTCCCTTTATTGTCCTTGTGAAATAATCGTTTTCGATCCTCGGACCAATTATTGATCATCTTTTGGAACCAATTATTGATCATCTTTTGGAACCAATCGTTAACCATTCATTGGAATTGAATCACCAATCATCCTTGCAAATAATTGACCATTCCTTGAAATAATTATTACTGATAATTGTTCAAGGAAATCATTCATTAAACATTCTTAAAAATTGGTTATTGATCGTCCTTCTTAAACAACATTTATCATTTTAATGATATATCAAAGTCCCTGTCCATCCCAAGTTAAGCACTCAGTTAGTGATTTCCTGATTTCCATCATATTCCATTAGAGTTCAAAGTAAATATAGAGGGATCATATCTATTGCACATACACAGTTGATGTTTTGCTTTCAGAAATTTTGAGCTTCCCTGCCAACCAGTCACCCCTGATACTCCAATGCATTTATATGGGTCAGTCTATCAAGACCTGCAGGGGTGACAGGTCATGTCAATATTACTCTAGCTTTATGTAGAAGGACTTTGTTACATATTTATCATAGCTTTAATACATGTGTATATTAGTGTTTTGTAGTGTAACATGTCTATCGTTTAATGTCCTACGCTTTATAGCCGAATTCCAACGGTTCATTAGTATATATCTCAATATTGGAACTGCTTACAATCAGATATATTGCAAACAAAATCTGATTGCAAATTGAAAATCAGATTCATGATATAAATGCAGACAGCTTTCATGAATACAGTGAGTAAAGAAATTAAACATATACTAGCTAGCAGGAAGATACGGAGGAGTGAGTAACATGAAACCAATCCTATCCCAGTTACAGTGTATTTAGTATTGTTAACTCTACAGACCAGTTACAGTGTATTTAGTATTGTTAACACTACAGACCGGTTACAGTGTATCTAGTATTGTTAACTCTACAGACCGGTTGCAGGGTATTTAGTATTGTTAACTCTACAGACCCGTTACAGAGTATTTAGTATTGTTAACTCTACAGACCCGTTATAGTGTATTTAGTATTGTTAACTCTACAGACCGGTTAAAGTGTATTTAGTATTGTTAACTCTACAGACCCGTTACAGTGTATTTAGTATTGTTAACTCTTCAGACCAGTTACAGTGTATTTAGTATTGTTACCTCTACAGACCAGTTAAAGTGTATTTAGTATTGTTAACACTACAGACCAGTTACAGTGTATTTAGCATTGTTAACGCTACAGACCGGTTACAGTGTATTTAGTATTGTTAACTCTACAGACCCGTTATAGTGTATTTAGTATTGTTAACTCTACAGACCCGTTACAGAGTATTTAGTATTGTTAACTCTACAGACCCGTTATAGTGTATTTAGTATTGTTAACTCTACAGACCGGTTGCAGGGTATTTAGTATTGTTAACTCTACAGACCAGTTGCAGTGTATTTAGTATTGTTAACTCTACAGACCGGTTACAGTGTATCTAGTATTGTTAACTCTACAGACCGGTTGCAGTGTATTTAGTATTGTTACCTCTACAGACCAGTTAAAGTGTATTTAGTATTGTTAACACTACAGACCGGTTACAGTGTATCTAGTATTGTTAACTCTACAGACCGGTTGCAGGGTATTTAGTATTGTTAACTCTACAGACCCGTTATAGTGTATTTAGTATTGTTAACTCTACAGACCCGTTACAGAGTATTTAGTATTGTTAACTCTACAGACCCGTTATAGTGTATTTAGTATTGTTAACTCTACAGACCGGTTAAAGTGTATTTAGTATTGTTAACTCTACAGACCGGTTACAGTGTATCTAGTATTGTTAACTCTACAGACCGGTTGCAGGGTATTTAGTATTGTTAACTCTACAGACCCGTTATAGTGTATTTAGTATTGTTAACTCTACAGACCGGTTACAGTGTATCTAGTATTGTTAACTCTACAGACCGGTTGCAGGGTATTTAGTATTGTTAACTCTACAGACCCGTTACAGAGTATTTAGTATTGTTAACTCTACAGACCCGTTATAGTGTATTTAGTATTGTTAACTCTACAGACCGGTTGCAGGGTATTTAGTATTGTTAACTCTACAGACCCGTTACAGTGTACTTAGTATTGTTAACTCTACAGACCAGTTACAGGGTATTTAGTATTGTTAACACTACAGACCAGTTACAGTGTATTTAGTATTGTTAACTCTATAGAGCGACTTTATTCAACACATCAATGAGAAAATAACCTGGGACCCAGGAACGGCTCAGTTTAGGATTGTTATCTGTATTTGGCTGCATTTCTCTAATTATTAATGGTTAAGACAAATAAAATTGAGAATTTAATCGTCTAATATACATAATTAACAAGTCATTAAATTGCATGTATTATTTATAGCATGAATACCTCAATCTCTTTTCTCATTCATATTCATTCATTAGAAAATCTACCTAATATTCATACTTTTCAAACTTATCTACATGAATATTCATGTATGAATGTCTCCTCCCCAGCCTGTGAATGCCATGCCCCGGGGACAATGTCTGGCCTGAGTAACTGTGATCCTATTGATGGTCAGTGTATGTGTAAGACCAACGCTGGTGGGCGTCGCTGTGACAGATGTCAAGATGGATTCTATGGACTCAGTGATGAAAATACGTTTGGATGTGTTGGTAAGTATTTGAACACCATATTAGTATAATAGGCACCGTAGGAATGGATAACACTTACAAATATAAATATAAACTTTATTATTTATTTTACAACAATTATGAAGAAACAAGTTATTTCAACTTATATGAATCACTCTTGTTGGCCCGGATCAGATGTAAGCGCAGGGGGGGGGGGGGGGGTCTTAGCGTGGGAGGAAACCAGAGTGCCAAAAACAAACACTACGTGGTTCGGCAAGGTGACCCCATACCTTTTCACGTCTGATCGGGGAATCAAACCCCGGCTGCCTTGGTGAAAGGCAAGTGCGCTATCCACCGCACCACCCGATAGCACTGATGTGTACCTTGTCATGTTGTTATGTTTCAGCAGTATTCCTATGTTAGCTCTGTCTGTATTTGTAATATTGTGCTTAACTTTGACTGTGCTAATTGAAGTTCTGTATATAGTTTCCCATTGTATATATTGCGATTGCACCAAATCATCAATTTGCAAATCTTAAATTAGATAATACAATAAAATTTGAGTCTGCTAAAATAAGTACTTCTACATTATCTACAAAACAAACAATGATGGAACTCAATTTTACTTCATGTTTTTGTACATAGATACGAACATTATACAGAGATTTCAGAGTTGTAAGGATGTGTTTTCGTGATATTTTGTAGAGTGTAACTGCGACATGGGAGGATCGGCGAGCGCTGTCTGTGACAGCAGAACCGGACAATGTAGGTGTAAACCCAGGGTTCGTGGCAAACGCTGTGAAAGGTCAGTATAACAAAATCTCTCATCAACATGGTGACATGGTAGCCTACTAGAGGCTTTTCAAGAGGAAGAATCTATCAATGCAATGTTATTTAAAGGACAGTAGTTTGACCACGTGTTAATTGCTCATATTTAACAAAGATAATCCAGTATATGGTTGTGCTTCTAGCAAGTTTTTCCTGAAGATTCTAATTTGTGATTGGTACAGAACATATATTCCTTAAAAATTTGAGGTATATTTGAATTCCTGATTGATTGTAACTAAGTCATTGAGATTTTATGAAAAAATATAGATCTTGTAAACTAAACGTGCCTTACAGTACATCTGACTTGCTAAATCTGTACTTTTGATGGCCGTCTGTTGACAGTCCGGACACGCTGCATTTCTTTCCCTCACTGCAGCAGCTCATCTACGAGATCGAAGATGGAAAAACACCCGAGGGTTCTCACATCAGATACGGCTTTGACCAGGAAATATTTCACAACTTTTCCTGGAGGGGATATGCCATTCTCACTCACCTGCAGGTCTGTGTTAGGACTTGTAGCATGTTTTATATAGGTTTTACTTATGTCAGTCATAGCTTGACAAAGGGACCAGTCGGTCTTGATTCGTTTTGACACATTTAACATGTACAATGTTAGTTTATAAAAAGTTTGGTAACGCAATGGCAATAATGATATGAAAAAAACAATATTTTCCCCTTTGGTGTTCAGTAATGTCAGTTAAAACTTAAGCATAACATCTTTAGAATATTTTTCTGACTATACCATGCATATCATGTCTAATAATTGTCTGTTATCTGATTGGTTATAGCCTGAAGTCTTGATGGACGTCATAGTGACCCGACCCAGTCTCTACCGAATCATCTACCGTTTCGAAAATCTTAACGCGTATACAGTGAAGGGGGTGGTAACTGTCACGCCTCAGTCTGTGGCGGACGACAAGCAGACCAGCGACGTTTTGTTTGTTCACTCGGAGATGCCACAGTTTGTGACAGTCGGTACCACAAGTGGAGTTAAAGACTTTGTGCTGAACCCTGGGAGGTGGACAATCTCCATCAAGTCCCCAGACCTGCTACTCTTGGTAAGTTCTACTGGTAATAGTTTGCTATATTAAATTGTTTCTTGAAGTATGCTGACGTATATATGGTTGACTCATTCACCCCTACATTTTTAAACTGCACTTGCCCAGTCTTTGGTTTGGTATGTTTCAAATGTGACTTTAGGGGTGAGTAGGTAAATTCAAATAATTTACTTTTCAAGGTTAAGTTATACGCTGCTATTAAAGCAGGGGGTCGGGGGGGCGGGAATTGTGCGAGAAGACAAGCTACAACATTCATCACAGGAATGTTTTAAATGCATCTTTACTGGCCTTCTGTCTTCAGATTGAGTCTCTTGAGACTGACATCTTTACTGACCCTCTATCTTCAGATTGGGTCTCTTGAGACTGACATCTTTACTGGCCCTCTGTCTTCAGATTGAGTTTCTTGAGACTGACATCTTTACTGGCCCTCTGTCTTCAGATTGAGTCTCTTGAGACTGACATCTTTACTGACCCTCTATCTTCAGATTGAGTCTCTTGAGACTGACATCTTTACTGGCCCTCTTTCTTCAGATTGAGTCTCTTGAGACTGGCATCTTTACTGGCCCTCTGTCTTCAGATTGAGTCTCTTGAGACTGGCATCTTTACTGGCCCTCTTTCTTCAGATTGAGTCTCTTGAGACTGACAACTTTACTGGCCCTCTTTCTTCAGATTGAGTCTCTTGTGACTGACAACTTTACTGGCTCTCTCTCTTCAGATTGAGTCTCTTGAGACTGACATCTTCACTGGCCCTCTGTCTTCAGATTGAGTCTCTTGAGACTGGCATCTTTACTGGCCCTCTGTCTTCAGATTGAGTCTATTGAGACTGACAACTTTACTGGCCCTCTTTCTTCAGATTGAGTCTCTTGAGACTGGCATCTTTACTGGCCCTCTGTCTTCAGATTGAGTCTATTGAGACTGACAACTTTACTGGCCCTCTATCTTCAGATTGAGTCTCTTGAGACTTGACATCTTTACTGGCCCTCTCTCTTCAGATTGAGTCTCTTGAGACTGGCATCTTTACTGGCCCTCTGTCTTCAGATTGCGTCTCTTGAGCCTGACATCTTTACTGGCTCTCTGTCTTCAGATTGAGTCTCTTGAGATTGACACCTTTACTGGCCCTCTATCTTCAGATTGAGTCTCTTGAGACTGACAACTTTGCTGGCCCTCTTTCTTCAGATTGAGTCTCTTGAGACTGACAACTTTACTGGCCCTCTATCTTCAGATTGAGTCTCTTTAGACTTGACATCTTTACTGGCCCTCTGTCTTCAGATTGAGTTTCTTGAGACTCACATCTTTACTGGCCCTCTGTCTTCAGATTGAGCCTCTTGAGCCTGACATCTTTACTGGCTCTCTGTCTTCAGATTGAGTCTCTTGAGACTGGCATCTTTACTGGCCGTCTTTCTTCAGATTGAGTCTCTTGAGACTGACAACTTTACTGGCCCTCTATCTTCAGATTGAGTCTCTTTAGACTTGACATCTTTACTGGCCCTCTGTCTTCATATTGAGTCTCTTGAGCCTGACATCTTTACTGGCTCTCTGTCTTCAGATTGAGTCTCTTGAGTCTGACAACTTTACTGGCTATCTCTCTTCAGATTGAGTCTCTTGAGCCTAACATCTTTACTGGCCCTCTGTCTTCAGATTGAGCCTCTTGAGCCTGACATCTTTACTGGCTCTCTCTCTTCAGATTGAGTCTCTTGAGACTGGCATCTTTACTGGCCGTCTTTCTTCAGATTGAGTCTCTTGAGACTGGCATCTTTACTGGCCCTCTGTCTTCAGATTGAGCCTCTTGAGCCTGACATCTTTACTGGCTCTCTCTCTTCAGATTGAGTCTCTTGAGACTGACATCTTTACTGGCCCTCTGTCTTCAGATTGAGTCTCTTGAGCCTGACATCTTCACTGGCCCTCTGTCTTCAGATTGAGTCTCTTGAGTCTGACAACTTTACTGGCTATCTCTCTTCAGATTGAGTCTCTTGAGCCTGACATCTTTACTGGCCCTCTATCTTCAGATTGTGTCTGTCTCTTGAGACTCACATTTTTTGTAAAAACAGCTTTAGTGACAATATTTTTCTTTCTGTTTTCCAATATTTCTGTCTGACTATTAAACATATGTTTTACACTTTGCATTTAGCTCCATCTCTTTAATATCAGAAATCCCAACAGTCATCAAACTTGATATGACGATACATCTTGAAAAGTACTACAGCCAGTCACTGTATGCTTACATTACTAAGAATTTGCGTTTAGTTCATTTTAAGACTTAGCATTTTAACTCCATTTTCCTCAAAATGAAATATGTATATATTCGATTAACATTTTCAAGTTAAAAACAGAATGCCTTAAGATGCATACTAGTAAATGAAATAGATATGTGTAAAAAATCTTTAAACTTACTTTTTAGGTCATTTGCATTACAATATATTTTCTTGTTTTCGTAAGGATTACATGGTCCTGGTGCCACAAGCTTATTACGAGGCAACAGTTTTACAGCAGCCAGTCACACGCCCCTGTACCATCCCTGACGACGACGGCCCGTGAGTATGCTCCTAAGTGCCTAGCCGTCATCATAGCTGTTATAGATTTTTATCTTGAATTATTTAGTTAATCAGGATGTTTGCCTGTTTAATCAGAGATATTGGTCTATTGCAGGGTTATTTAATTGAATAAGAAACTTTATACAGACTACGAGGGGAAGTAACTCTGTGAAACACTGATGACAGTCTAGGAGATATTTATTTTCAGTTGTTATAGATAATATAGATACAGGCTCATCTGATACAGGCTCATCTGCTGCACTTTGCTCAGAAAGACTTCTGCATTTTTTATTGCTATTTCTAGGTGCCTGTATTATAATTACCCAGACTTGTCCCATTTCCCAGCCGTGTCTGGGGAGAACGGGTATACCATAGACTCGGACGGCAACGTCGTACCCACACAGGTGTTCTCCGACCGAGACATTCTGAACGAGCTGGACCTTGATGGACTGGCCAAGCTGGATAGAAACCAGGTACGTCGAACAGCATACCCTACCAGCTATAAGAAATTGCTTTAAAGGAATATGGAAACACTGTAAAACAATGCTACAGCCACGTGGACACCAGATACATGTATATCGCTATTACAGTCGGTGGTCGGGCTCATCAGAGGATACTGTGTAATCATATCAACACAGCTATAGAAATGCCATTGCTCATTTGTAAAACAAACAACAGTAAATGAAGATAGGGATACTTGTTAAAGGGTTAATCATAAAAATTCTGAAGCAAAAGTTCGAAAAAAGTAAGACTAAGACTTTTTCATTCTGTTTTGCAGAATTCGTTGAACATGAATTTGGCCGTACCGGACCCTGGGCAGTATATCATTGTGGTCAACTACTTCGCTCTGTCCAACACCACCCAAGATCTAAATGTGACCATCAGGACCGCAGAAGGGGACTACCTAGGAACGGTGTCTCTCAGTAACTGCAAATACAGGTAACTATATGGAAACACAAATGTGGAAGCACTGGACTTCTAAATGTTACGGTCATTAGAAATAAAGGTCAGCCGTTATAAACTTCTCCACAGGGCTACAGATGTTTAAAAATCTGGGAAAATTGAGAACATAATCATAAATCTTAAAAATTGAACAGGAATGTTTGTCTTTAATTTTGTTCTTCACATTGACCTTTGTTTTTATAATCAGACTTTCGTTTATCTTACTACATTTTCAATGTCTTCCAGTGTTCTTTGTCGAGAGGTACTGAAGGATCTGAGCAGTATGCCGGCCCTCACCTTCATCAACGGAACTGCCCAGATCATCCTCACTGGGGACGACAATATAGATGTGGCTATTGTAAGTCTCGTACTTCTCAAGTGTTAAAACATTCAAAATTAATTACTTGTGGCCATAGTGTTAAAACATTCAAAATCAATTACTTGTGGCCATAGTGTTAAACCATTCAAAATCAATTACCTGTGGCCAGTGTTAAAACATTCAAAATCAATTACCTGTGGCCATGGTGTTAAAATATTCAAAATCAATTACCTGTGGCCATAGTAATAAAACATTCAGAATCAATTACTTGTGGCCATAAGAGGCAATGCTATTTTGTCTGTTATCAAAAAACATTTTATTCAAGACAAAAATGCTTGTAATTGCCTGCATTCTTTATGTAGATCTAAAGCACAGGCTGTGAATATAAGAAGCTTTTTCTAAGTATGAGGATGCAGATTGATTGATTGATTGGTTTTACGTCCGCTTCACTACCGAGTAGTTCGGTTATCCAGCAGACTTGACGAAGTGACTGATTGATTGGTTTTACGTCCGCTTCACTACCGAGTATTTCGGTTATCCAGCAGATGTTGGAGGATGCAGTTGTCCATTTGTTATTTGTAGGGCTCTGTGGTGGCTATACCGTACCCCGACTGGACCCTGGGATACATTCGGCCCAGCATCATCTGTATCCGTATCAATGGCATGTAAGTCGCTAAGAACTACCACCGGATCCTTTCTCCATTACTTAACGTAAAATTGTAGTATTCACAAACAAAAATAATTTGATTTATAAGCAGTTGCTTCAGGATATTGGTGGGTAATAATATTATAGAGGTGATTTTCTTAATGATCTATAGACATATCATAGAAGAAACCTTTTTCTGTGCCAAAGAGATTTCACCTTTTTAAGATGCCTTATGTTTTCATTTTCTGTTGAGTGCTTTAATTGAACACTATCACTATCAAATTTTTTCATTTTTTTTCATTTTGTTACTCAAAAGAGAAAAATATATGGGATTTATTTATACATTTGTCCAGTTCAAACTTAAGCAGAGATGTAGTAATTATCTGGTTGTAGATGCATAGGTTCCCATTGGTCTGTACCAGCTGACTCCCGCAGGATCGAGTTCGAAGACCCACCTAACCATGAGCTCCGTGTCGGCCCTAACGAGTTCCCATCCTGGATCGTGGATGGAAACGTGGGATTAGTACATCTCAATGACACTGTGGTAAGACTCGCTGACTTCACCGTCATGTTAAATTCACAAATAAACCAGGCACCATTAAAGTAGGGGAAAAACACTGTCCCAGAGATGTTCACGTATGATATGGAGAGTATATAGATGTGACGTTGACATACCTTACTGAACTTGAACACCGTGATATCTGCCAATAATTTCATTGTCACAAAGAGTTTGATTTCATCAATATTCATGATACTGCCATTGGTTTAGAAACAAATATTACTGTATTGTATTTACCAAATAAATGCCCTCTCTTTAACCTACTAATGTTGCTCTCTAAAAAATATGATCGGGACTAAATATTGTGTTGACCCCTTTGATTAATAGTCGACCATTGAAGTGGAGGCCACGGTTCCAAATCCCGATCGCTACGTGTTTGTCGTCCACTTTTACCTGCCCAGTGAAGCCGGAATTGATCTTCCAGTCAAGATTCATGCTGACGGTCAAGTTTATGAAGGTTAGTGTTCAGATTTTACGAAATCTTGACAATGAAAATTTGTAAAAACAACAGGTTTAGGATGAATTTCTGTGTAATACGGCACTGGCTATAGAACCATATTTTTTCACAGACGAAAAGGTGAACAAACCCCATCGACCTCTTTTATTTCTTATCAAATTTTCAATTGTTAAAAAAACAACTATCGCATTCACATATAGATATTACTTTGGCAGCGGCGGCGGCGTCAGCTGCATCGATAACTGTTCCCTTGGGTTGATTGAACGCAAACTTGTATACCAATATAGCTTGGACGAGTTCGCATTTCAGAAGTTTACATACATTTTTGGTGGAGTTATGCCCCTTTTATTGTCAAATAAGGGCATTGTGTTGTAAATGCAAGAACTTTTTAATTTTTTAATCAATTCCTTTAAAATTTTGTACGGTAATGCTAGAAGCAATAATGTTCAACATATATTACAGGTTTTTTTGACGAGTTTAAACTTTCTGTGTTTTGGCATATCACACTTGACATGGCAATGCTGTTCATCGTTTTTGCCGTTGAATTTTTCTTGTTTACGAGATAGTTCAAGCCAAAACACTTTTCTTACTAAAAGCGCTGAGCAGACGACACATCCACTCCCGTGGAATTCTTGTAATTTTTGGGGAAAACCCCATAAAAACTTGACTTGCTTTGCCGTTCCAGGTATGTTCCGACCTAGGTACTGCCCTGGTGTTTCTGGTTGTCGTGGACTGATCTATTTCGATGAAGAAGATGTCAGTGGTATGATAGGTGTGAGTGACAACAGGGTTTTTATCCGTTTCAACAACACAGGCGGCCATGACATCTACTTGGTAAGTGATATTGTGCCCGTCATCAAATCAAAAGTTGAATGCATAAATAATTTTAGCATATTCATGTCATTTAAGATACAGAAAATATCTTTGGCAAATCTTTTCAGCATACAGTTTGCAAATTTACGCACATCAGGAATCAAAATCTAAAAGACTATAAATGAGTTTGTTTTTGGACTGGTTCTTTGGCATTTCATTAAAATGAAAGAAAAGTTTTAGAAAATTACTATATAAATACAATAATGATTTACTTATCTGCCAATCTGAGAATTGCTGAGAGGCCTTTGTGTTAGTGGTGTATATTTCTGTTACCATGGTTACCTTATTGTCTCTCTAGGACTACCTGTTGATGATGTATATTTCTGCTACCTTGGTTACCTTATTGTCTCTCTAGGACTACCTGTTGATGATGTATATTTCTGTTACCATGGTTACCTTATCGTCTCTCTAGGACTACCTGTTGATGATTCCGGCTTCCCGGTTCTCGGCTGCTGATTTGGACATCCAGCCCGTGGATAACTCCGCTAACTTCCTGACAAACTGTGTTGGACCAGGCTTCCAACTCATGTATGAATACATTTTTAAAGTAACTTGACCCAGAAATGTCTTCAATAACTTATTTAGTGTACCCCAGTATACTTCTGAACAGTATGGACATAACATTGACCTTGGAAGTCTATGGCCTGTACTCGTCAAACTGCAGCAAGGTCAAAAAGTAAAATCTAGACTTTTAAAATGAATGTTTTTTTGACATTTCAAATTTTGGTCAACACCACTTTCGTAGTGTATATATAGGTCATAGTGGTACATTTTCTCTCCGGTTTATCAAAAGGAACCACTGTGATAGCTCCATAGAAATTTGTACTAGAGTACTTGGTCATCTGTATACAGTGTAAGGTAACATTTATCACAGATGTACTGTTTACCAGGAAACTTTCACTCCATAAATTATTTCGCCCAATGCAGATGTAATCATTGTTTGCCAAGTGTTAATTTCCCCTGTCACACGTAATTACTACATAGTGTATGTTGTGTACTAATATTCGCAGATATGATAAGTTTATCCTCATCAGAGAGGGCAAAAAGGCAGTAGTAAAATTAAAGTGAAAATTTCCCAGTATACATTAGTAACAACAAGTGACGATTGTTCTCTACATTGTTGTGTAAAGGTCACCTTGGAACTTTGTTAGTAAGTAAGAATAGTTAACAGATGTTACCCTGAACATTATTTACGTGATACTCCACTAACAGATGTTACCCTGATCATTATTTACGTGATACTCCACTAACATATGTTACCATGAACATTATTTACGTGATACAGTAATTAAGAATAGTTAACAGATGTTAACCTGAACATTATTTACGTGATACTGTAAGTAAGAATAGTTAACAGAGGTTACCCTGAACATTATATACGTGATACAGTAAGAAAGAGTAGTTAACAGATGTTACCCTGAACATTATTTATGTGATACTGTAGGTAAGAATAGTTAACAGATGTTACACTGAACATTATTTACGTGATACAGTAATTAAGAATAGTTAACAGATGTTAACCTGAACATTATTTACGTGATACAGTCAGTAAGAATAGTTAACAGATGTTAACCTGAACATTATTTACGTGATACTGTAAGTAAGAATAGTTAACATATGTTACCCTGAACATTATTTACGTGATACTGTAAGTAAGGATAGTTAACAGATGTTACCCTGAAAATTATTTACGTGATACTCCACTAACAGATGTTACCATGAACATTATTTACGTGATACAGTAATTAAGAATAGTTAACAGATGTTAACCTGAACATTATTTACGTGATACAGTAATTAAGAATAGTTAACAGATGTTAACCTGAACATTATTTACGTGATACTGTAAGTAAGGATAGTTAACAGATGTTACCCTGAAAATTATTTACGTGATACTCCACTAACAGATGTTACCATGAACATTATTTACGTGATCCTCCACTAACAGATGTTACCCTGAAAATTATTTACGTGATACTCCACTAACAGATGTTACCATGAACATTATTTACGTGATACTCCACTAACAGATGTTACCCTGAACATTATTTACGTGGTACTCCACTAACAGATGTTACCCTGAACATTATTTACGTGATACTCCACTAGGAGGACTGTGCTTTGACAGAAGAAGAACATACTATTTGCACAATCCTGAAATATTAAAATATTATTTTGTTCATATAGAAATATCTGGAGTCATCATTGATTTTTTTTGTTTTTTGTTTATCCTTTACAGAAGTAACTCTGAGTTCTGTCGGAAGGGGATCTTCTCCTTAACAACAGAGTTCAACAATGGCGCCGTACCGTGCACCTGTGATATTGACGGTTCTCTCAGCTTCAGTTGTGTAAACTTCGGGGGTCAATGCCAGTGTCGGGATCATGTCATAGGTCGGAGCTGTACTCACTGTACCGAGGGGTATTACGGCTTCCCCAACTGTAAAGGTCAGTTCAAGGTCGTGGACGGGGTCCTACAAAGCAGTGACATACCCTGCTATAACAAACACCTGGAGACATAATGGGTTCTCAAAATATCCAAGTTAAATTCTTTGAAATAAATTATATTGGTTAATAGCTTTGGAGGTAAACACATTATTTAAAACAAACAGATTATTTGAAGCATCCAATTTCTAATGGGGTTTTCCAGAAATAAACCTGATTGAGAGACCACCTATTAAAAGACCACCTTTAAGACTTCTCATTAAAGCTTGATCAAGTTATCTCAGTTTTTCACCACATTGTTAGGTTTATAACTTTCGAACTACTGTCGGGGTACAGAAAAGAAAATGCTCAATGTTAGTGAGAGAGGCTCTTTAAAAGATAACAAAATTTCAGAAGAATTTCATGTAGGAAAACTTGATGTATTTGAAAGGAAAATTTCCTTGATGTCTTTTGTAAAAATGTTATTCTGTTGTAAATCAGATTGGTTCTTTTTTTTTCTTTACGGAATGTGACTCCTCGTCTTCTATTAAAATTGTATCCTATTCAGTTGATAAATTGTCTATTTTTTCCCCCAACAGAATGTAATTGTCCCTACGGAAGGTGTCATCCAATCACTGGTGAATGTGTGTGCCCCCCTCGTGTGGCAGGAACCATGTGTGACCAATGTGTGGCGGAGACCTTCGGCTACGATCCTCTCGTCGGCTGTACCGTAAGTTGTCACGGATCCTGCTGAAATGATGACGCGGCCATAATTGTATGTATGGTTATGGCTTGCTATTCATATGAGGCTTCAACTTCTAGAAATTTGAAAAAACGTTTTGTGAACAGATTTAGCAGGAGGCTTTTGAACATGCCATATCTTCAGATAATGCTGTTAATTTTGGACATGCAGTTACTTTAAAAAAAAATCCCGGAAATATTTCTCCATTTTGTTTTGGCGTTTTCATCTGTAACAAACGTGCAAATTCATCATAGGGCAATTCATTTTGAAAAACCCAATTGCAAAAAAAATTGAAATGGCATTACAAAATATTTTTTAGTAAAATGATCCATGATATGTATGTAATCCTCTATCAGGCTTTAGATGGTTACAATAGCTGATGGCAGGGGTGTCAGGTGTGTCGGAACTATTTTGTCTTGTTTTTAGGACTGTGACTGTAGCTACTACGGTGTCCTGAATGACGACCTTAACTGTGAGCAGGGTACTGGCCAGTGCAGGTATGGACACTCCCACTCATAATGACCTCCCTCGGAGATGTAACAGAAACATTTTACGTGTCATTATTAGATTTGTCACTTTATAGTACATATCCATTTGGATGTTATAAAATCAATCGAATTCCTTGTTCAAATTCAAAATAGCTCCAAAATAATCATCACGTGTTTTACCTACTGGTATCATTAAACTTATTCTACTTGTTAAAATCCCGGGAAAGGGGGTCTGTTTATTTAAAGCAGTGTAAAATAATTGCTTATTTACTAATTCAGGAATTTGACCTTGTAAGCGCAGAAATACAATCATAATCTTCAGACCTAATTGCTAGAATGGAACCTTTTCAAATAACATTAGTTTTTATTACTTATTGGCGTAAAATAGTGTAAACAAGTGTTTCCATGATGTTTCCATGACGTTTCCGTGATGCTTCGTTTGTAGCTGTAAGGAGAACATCGAGGGACGCAAGTGTGATACCTGTCATATCGGGTTCTATGCCTTCCCACACTGTCAGGAGTGTAACTGTAACACGATCGGCACACAACAAACCATCTGTGACCAAACCAACGGACAGTGTCTCTGTAAGGTAAATATTGTGTTGCATCATGGGAAGACTTCCAGGTCGAGGATATTTATCCAAGTCCAGACAAAATCGGCCAAGAAATGATTCTAATGTCACTACCTTTTTTAAGTAATTATATTTTTTTATGACTAAGTGTAAGAAAATAAAGTCTTGATAAGTCTTGATTTAATCATTAAGTGAGCTAAAAACCTCAATATTTCTATTTCTTTAAATATTCCTGAATAAGATCAGTTGATATATTATAAATGATAATATTTTTTTGTGTGAAGGCCAATGTTGATGCGGGTAGGTGTGACCGATGTCAGCCTGGAAAGTTCAACCTTGACCCTCGTAATCCGAAGGGTTGTACCAGCTGTTTCTGTTTTGGCACGACTCAGACATGTGACAGCTCAGTCTACACCTGGGGAATGGTAAGCTTGCTCTAATAGGATGTCTCACAGTAGACTTTCTCCCAGTAAATGTTGAATAGGTCAAGCGGGACATTTCATTTCAATATTAGTGTCATTTAATGTTTACCTGTTTACTTATGTTCTATTGGTTGTTCATGGATAATCTTACTGTGTTGATGGACTGTTCCGATTGGTTCATAAAATAGACTTATCCGCGACTTACCGGTAATTATTAACGCCTATTGAACCTGTTATGAAATACAGCAGTCTGAGAGATCAGATCTAAATTACAACAGATTAATCATACATCAAGGAAAACAACTGATTTTAGTAATTATTTCTTTCTGCTTCCACACAGCACAAAGACATGGCAGGATGGACAGCAACAAATGTGGAGCCGAGTGCCGTGCGAGAGGCTGGAGATATTGTGGCCATTCTGAATGTCCAGACCTTCATCACCGACTCTGATTCTGTCATTTACTGGGTCGCTCCACAGTCTTACCTTGGGAACAAGGTCAGTATACCTCCGGAACAAGATCAGTATACCTTGGAAACAAGGTCAGTATACCTTGGAAACAAGGTCAGTATACCTTGGAAACAGGGTCAGTATACCTCTGGAACAAGGTCAGTATACCTTAGGAACAAGGTCAGTATACCTCAGGAACAAGGTCAGTATACCTCGGGAACAAGGTCAGTATACCTCTGGAACAAGGTCAGTATACCTCAGGAACACGGTCAGTATACCTCCGGAACACGGTCAGTATACCTCCGGAACACGGTCAGTATACCGCCGGAACAAGGTCAGTATACCTCTGGAACAAGGTCAGTATACCTCCGGAACACGGTCAGTATACCGCTGGAACAAGGTCAGTAAACCTCAGGAACAAGGTCAGTGTACCTCAGGAACAAGGTCAGTGTACCTCGGGAACAAGGTCAGTATACCTCGGGAATAAGGTCAGTATACCTCGGGAACAAGGTCAGTATACCTCCGGAACACGGTCAGTATACCGCCGGAACAAGGTCAGTATACCTCTGGAACAAGGTCAGTATACCTTAGAAACAGGGTCAGTATACCTCGGGAACAAGGTCAGTATACTTCCAGAACAAGGTCAGTATACCTTAGAAACACGGTCAGTATACCTCTGGAACACGGTCAGTATACCGCTGGAACAAGGTCAGTATACCTCAGGAACAAGGTCAGTATACTGCCGGAACAAGGTCAGTATACCTCAGGAACAAGGTCAGTATACCTTGGGAACAAGGTCAGTATACTTCAGGAACAAGGTCAGTATACCTCGGGAACAAGGTCAGTATACCTCCAGAACAAGGTCAGTATACCTCCGGAACACGGTCAGTATACCGCCGGAACAAGGTCAGTATACCTCAGGAACAAGGTCAGTATACCTTAGGAACAAGGTCAGTGTACCTCGGGAACAAGGTCAGTATACCTCGGGAATAAGGTCAGTATACCTCCGGAACAAGGTCAGTATGGGACATTAAGCTACAGACCTAGTGTAAATTTCAGTCATGCTGCAGGTAAAAAGGATATCCGGGTTCAGAGTGACAATGCAGAATGTACTGATGATGTTCAATTATGTTATTCCAAATAAAGAGGTCATATATAGGTGTCAAAGTCCTATCTATGAACTAACAGTGTCCATTTTTGTGGAGAAATTCCTTATCAGATGCAAAGCTTATAAAATGTGTTACACAGTCCATATGAACCTTTTTCAGACAATCAAACCTAGGTGATGGATGCTATTTAAAAATTATCAGAAATCAGTAAAACCTTGCAACAAAAATTTGTTACAGGTCATAATATTTGGTAATTCAACATCAAATTTAATGTTTTGAAGAAAACAGTAAAACAAACTGGTTTGTTTAGGTGGTATCTTACGGAGGTGGCCTAAAATATTCCTTCATCTACATGCTTGAGGACCCCACGACAGAGGAGGAGGCTGAGGGACCTGCTGTAGTTCTCACCGTAAGTTGTACCGCAATAAATCATACAGTCGTTCAGTAAATGTCATACAGTCTCGTAGTAAATGTCATAAGTCTCGCAGTAAATGTTGAACTCTTAAGCAGTAAACAGTGCAAATATCTGCAATAAATTCTTTCAAAAATTAATTCTAAACTGCCTTTCAGTAAACATTTTATTGTCCTATAGTAATATGGAAAAAAGTCTAACTTTCCCACAGTAAATGGCCTGTTCTCCTACATGAAATGGTTCTTGGTAGTTATTATTAAATCCAGTCAGGTCTTGTCATAAAGGATTGTTGTTTACTGTAAAATAAAAATGACCAGCATTTTCTCACAGTAAATGGCCTGTTCTCCTACATGAAATGGTTCTTGGTAGTTATTATTAAATCCAGTCAGGTCTTGTAATAAAGGATTGTTGTTAACTGTAAAATAAAAATGACCAGCATTTTCTCATCAAATTTTCAAAAAGGGGATTGAGCTTTAAATTTATGTTGATAATAACACTTGGATTAATACTTCTAAGACACGTTTTAAAATTTGAACGAAGCTAGACTGATTCTTTTTGATTGATAAGTTTTGCTGGTTTCTCTGTCATGATTATAATACATGAGATGTGTATTGATCTTGTATGTTATTTCTGTGTACAGGGAAGGAACATGACAATTGTACACAAGCTTGATGCTGCAGACTACCAGGGAAATCGTGTTTACGAAGTCACCGTGCCCATGGTGGAGGTAACTGTTTTTGGTTTTTTTGTCTTCACAGATACATCATGTAAAATATCATATGAGTATACATATATCATGTAAACATCCTCTCACAGGAGTCACATCTTTGATTTTTTTCCTTGCTTGGGATGAGTTCTGGAGTTCTGAGAGTATCTGAGAAGTTTTTTTTTTAACGAAGCATTACTTAAGTAATGGAGGTAACTTCTGTTCATTAAAACTTTTCAGGTGTAGCTAGCCTATTCATATACTGCTTTTGTTAGATAGAATTTCCTGTTTATTAGTAAATAGATTTATCTTCAATTTATATTCCTGTTCATTTGAATAAGGAATATACATCTCTTATTGTACATTTCACACAAATCAAAATCAAAAAGGTGGTTTTAAGTGTAACTGCAGAATTATTTCATTTAATATTGCAAGTAGATTAAGCTGTAAAGCATTTGTCTCGAGTTTGGAGTGCCCAGGGTTCCGACTCGATTGTGGGTTATAAATATTGTGGAAAAACATCAAGAACTGTGATTACATTGTTATGTGTGCTGTGGCATTGTGATATGGTCATGTGATTTGATTTTCTTTCTTTTAGACCCATTTCGTGTACAGCGACACCAGTAGGTTTGTGAATCGTGACAACTTCATGTCAATCCTGGTGGACCTCCAGTCTATGCACATTAGATCGGCCTTCACGACCAACGTAGACCAGCTCAGGTACTTCTGATGTAAAATATACACAAACACATAAAGTCAGGGTCTCCACAAAGCTTCACAGAGATTTGATTCATGTCGTTATTAATTTCATGGTCCATTCAGGACTGCTTTGAAGTATCTGTTCCAAGTTTTGAAATTTCTTGTATCTGAATTGTTCTAATTAGTAAGAGGTAAACTGTACCACTGATCAATAATTTGAAGTTGAAGTAGTAATTAACACCGAATGATTATTCGCCCTGACGACGAGGAAGGGCATTGGTGACGAGGATGGGATTTTATTCCTCTGCCTCCCTTTCGTTCCAGCTTAAGGAGGTGCTAGATCATGGGGATATTTCTGATAGATAACTGGAAGTTTGTCTGATAGCAAGACTACCAGTTAAGTTGTGACTAAGTTGACAAGGTTGTGTTAATTAGTTTGTAGTAACCTGAACAATAAGTATTTTATGGACCCATCTTGTTTGCGGAATGTGACATTAAAATGACCGAAGTTGTTTCATGAATATTTCCTACACACCTGAAGTATCCTGTTTTTATGTGACAGGTTGATGAACGTGACTATGTTGGTGGCAGCGGCTGACGGTGATGACGGCCCTGCCTTGTCTGTGGAGCAGTGTAACTGTCCCCCCGGCTACACTGGCACATCCTGCGAGGTGGGGGACCAAAACTTGTACACTTCTTGACAAATATCTTTGTGGTATGACAGACACATGATATAAAAATGTGTAATGACATAAACCATAAGATGTGTGCAGAAAAAGAAATCGGTGTAAAAGAGTTTACAATTTTTTCAGATTTAAGAAAAAATGTTAAAAGAAATTACGAAAAGTTTGTCGTTATAAAGTGCTAAGTAAAAAGTTTGAAATAGACTTACCAATGATTATTGGAAAAGCTTTACATTTCTAGAGTGGTTCGTATTTATTTTGTAGAGCTGTTCACAGGGATACTACCGAACACCGAATGCACCATTCCTCGGTGCGTGTGTACCTTGTATGTGTAACAGGCACACCGATACCTGTGATCCAGACACTGGCATGTGTCTTGTAAGTATAAAGGTTACTAGGAGTTTGTGGAGTTAAACTAAAACTGGTTCTTCATGGACTGATTTACCTCTTCAAATCAATCCTACCAAATGTAAATCTGGAACACCAATATGATCTACCAAACTTCAAATATTAAAAAAGGTTTCACTAAATACCAGAAGCACCCATCAGTTCTGAAAGTGCAAAATGCAGTCGTGTTCCATTTCAATAATTTCACAGCATTGAATATGTTGGAGTATTTTGACATCTCTGTTTATCGACAGGGTTGCCTTGACAACACTATGGGAGACCACTGCGAGACCTGTCTACCTGGTCACTATGGCGACCCGTCCCGGGAGAGCTGTACCATCTGTAGCTGTCCTCTTCCTGTGGCCAGTAACAAGTTAGTAACAGTATTTGTTTTCTGAACATGAAATTACACATTAAAGTATTTTGAGCTTTATATCACCTGTCATATGTTGGAGAACAATGTGATAATAAGTAAAATGGTCTATATCCTAAATGATTTAAGTCAACAACAATTGGTTACAGCCAAAACAACTGTCTCAATTGATCAAGGTTACAGCCAAAACAACTGTCTCATTTGATCAAGGTTACAGCCAAAACAACTGTCTCATTTGATCAAGGTTACAGCCAAAACAACTGTCTCGTTCGATCAAAGCCATGTTTGCACTCAAATTCTAGGGTCAATGTTTAAGTATTAAGCGCAGTATATTGGTTAAGACCAAAGTGGTCAGTTATCTGTTCCTGTTTCAGTTATCTGTTCCTGTTTCAGTTATCTGTTCTTGTTTCAGCTTTGCGTTTGGATGTAATGTATACAACGGTCAGATGGTTTCCTGTGACTGTCAACCCGGCTACGCAGGTCTTCTCTGTGATCGGTAAGTACCGTACCTGTGATCGGTAAGTACCGTACCGTAAGGCAAGGCTTACTGAGAGCAGGTACAGAAACAACAAGGGCGGGATGGGAATGGAAACAACAGGTGAAAAAGTTCGGGTAATTTTGTCGGTGTCATGCATGTGTCGGTGAGATAGCACTTTGCTATGCAGTCACAGCCGTTTAGAATATGTTAAACTCTGAGATAAAAACGACAGACAATCTCATTTCAAATGTATCTTTTCTCATTCTAATCCTCCGTTTTATAGGTGTTCCCCAGGTTACTATGGTAACCCCAACGAACAGGGTGGTCGGTGTGAAATGTGTCAGTGCTCTGGAAATATTGACATGTCTAACCGTGGATCATGTAGCGAGGTGACGGGTTCGTGTCTTGTGTGCGGTAACAACTCGACAGGTGCAGACTGTTCCCAGTGTCGTGAATGGTGGTACGGTGATGCCGTCAATGCCAAAAATTGTCAAGGTAATGGAAACTTGTGAATTATGAAGTCTGTATTTATTATTTATCATTATATATCCATACATCATGTATTGGTGATGGCCTGCTACTCCTGTATCCATTATACATGTACCAATATACTGGAGCCAATGAGGGGGGATCAAGATTTGCAGCAATATATCGTGATTATAGTGTTGCAAATTACATTTTCTTGGTAACATACAGTAAATCTCAGCATACAGGAAGATTATCCCCATTCTAATTCATATCAGCTGAAATCATCTAAAGAATAAATCATGAAATGGTACTTTTGATGCTATTTCTAGAAAACAAAATTGACCCTCAGCCATGGATGGTGACATTAGTATTATTCAAAGTATGGCAGAATACATTGACCTTTTGGGGTCACTGATATCATCATTAAAAATTGCCATCTGGGATTCATATGCAAATATGAAAATTGCTGATGGTATATAATGTGGTTATAACATTACGAATTATTTCAATTGACCAATCAAATACTGTGTTACATCTCAATAATTAGAATATACATGTATGTACATACTACCTGTGTTGTAGCTGATGAATTAGAATATACATGTATGTATGTAATACCTGTGTTGTACCTGTAATGAGCACACCTGTATCCTTACAGCCTGCACTTGTGACCAGTGTGGTACCCAGCAGTGTGACAATGGTGTAGGACAGTGTCAATGTAAACCTAATGTTCAGGGTATCGACTGTGACAGCTGTGCCGTGAGTAGTACATTTACATCTGTATCTCGGACACATCCACTTGTTAGGGTAATCTGTAACTGAAATGTCTATGAATTTTTTCATGGTTTATAACCCAAAAGCTCAGAAAAATTCCAAATGTGAAACTTTGGTCTAATCCAAACCAGGAATGATGCAACTGAAATTTTTGCTAAAATTCTTTTTATTCTCAACTTTTGTTTCATTTTCCTTTTAATGAAAAATCAAACATCAAGTTGATAAATGTGTTCAGAATAATTAAGGTGTTCAACACTCAGATAAATGTGTTCAAAATAATTTAGGTGTTCATACTCCGAATTTGTTCCTTTAAAACACTAAGTTTCAATAAAACACCATAAATTTTGATATTTACAAATATGAAGTTTAATTCATACCAATGAGCCAAATATAAAAAATCAAAGGGAAGTAACTCTATCCACAGCCTAACACATACGGGTTTGATGACTGTGAGGGTTGCCGGGACTGTAACTGTGGACTAGCAGCCAGCAGCCTTCAGTGTGACCTTGTCTCAGGTCAATGTTCCTGTCAGCCTGGCGTCACCGGTCTTATGTGTGACGAGTGTATGGACGGCTACTTCGACTACACAGCGGCAGGATGTCAAAGCAAGTATCAACATTTTATCGTCGGTATTTTAAGACAGATAACTGATTCAGCTATTTAAATTTATTTGAATGTTTATAAATTGTGAACTTTTGCAATAAAAAGTGTTTTTTGTAATTTGTTATGGAAGTACCTGCAATAATAACAATACATCTTTCTGTAACTTGGAAAAATGTTAGATGCAGTAAACAACATAACTTATTATTACTTTAGACTCTTAACTTACTTCCTGTAAGCTACTGTCACTTGAATATTAACTTTTATTGTTGAGTAATTTTTTACACTGATGTTGATAGCTAACAAACAAGTTGAGCTGAGAGTATAATATGTTCCGAGAGTCTGACTATATTTGTTACCATCCCCAGAGTGTGACTGTGAGTCAGACGGTGCTATGACCTGTAATCCCTTTACCGGTGTATGTCAGTGTCTCAAGGGTGTCACAGGAGACAGGTGTGACCGATGTCTACCACGCTGGATCCTTGTACCCAACGAGGGGTGCCGTCGTAAGTTGACCTTGAAAATCTTTTTCTTGTCCCTTTTTACAGAATAACATTTGTTACTCTTAATATCTGTACTAAACTTCATGAAAATAATATGAAGTACTTGTATTTGTTCGAAAGGAATTATTTGTTGGTGCCTTCCCACTAACTCTTTGACTATCAAATGTCTGGAGATATTTACAAATGGCCATGTTTATTTATTTCTCTATTAATTATCAATTATAATCTTCCAAAGCTGCAGAAAAGTTGAAATGTTGTCATTTGACTCCTGTCCAATCTGATATCTCTGTGTTTTAGCCTGTGACAACTGTGTGCACATTTTGCTGGACGATTTGGAGTTCATGGACAGAAATCTGACTAGTCTGACGGGTAACCTAGCAACAGTCTCTGTTGGAGTCACCGCCCTGAAACGACTTGAGGCCATCAACGAGTCCATTGCCCTAAACGCAGTATGTGTCAAACTTTATCTTATTTTAGTAACTAGAATGTGAAGTGGTGAAAGAGTTCTGATCATAAATCATAATGAATTCACTTTTCATGTCACTTCTTAAACTTAAAAGAAAATCATTTTTTCTATACAAAAAGATAAATGAAACTAAAGCAAAGTATAAACAAAGGAAAGATTTCCACAGAGATCCTTGAAGGATAAGACCAGTTGTTCTGGAAAGATATTTTTTTTCTGCTTAGTAGACGATACTTGTCCTGTAAATAAATCTAGGTCAGATATGATTTGATTTAAACATATTTTATTGTCGAAACAGACAAATGGATGAAAGACAAGTTCTAACAAAGGTCAGATATCTGTAGGTAAATCTAGGTCAGATATCTGTAGGTAAATCTAGGTCAGACATCTGTAGGTAAATCTAGGTCAGATTATCTAGGTCAGATATCTGTAGGTAAATCCAGGTCAGACATCTGTAAGTAAATCTAGGTCAGATATCTGTAGGTAAATCTAAGTCAGATATCTGTAGGTAAATCTAGGTCAGACATCTGTAGGGAACACACATGATATTCATATCGCACAAGAGTAAATGTTCCCTGATGAGATGATGATGGTGAGAGTAAGCAACAACACTGGGTGAGGAAATAGGAAATATATCTTGAAACTTTATTGGAACTATCTGTAGTGTTGTTACTCAAGGGAATATGGAGAATAGACTCAACTTAGATACCCTGATCTGACTTAGCAGTGGCTGGAAGACCAAAATTCTTTTATTAAAGTCAGAAAATTTGTAAGAAGAGTACTTACGAAGCTTTTGAGGGTGAAATATTTTTAATGTTTTAAATTTTCAGCCCAAGATTGGTATGATGAAGGAAGCAGATGATGCATTCTCCCTCACCCCACTGAGGCAGGCTGTCACTGAGATCATCCAGAAAGCCGACGAAACCAGCGCTAAGGTCAGTACTTGTGACTGGGAAATCAAAAAAGAGGAATCTACCATCAATTTGGATATAAAGACCAAATTGCATTTATAATTGATTTATGAATTTTCCTATGAAAATAGTCATTCGACTTCGGTTTCTTGGCCAAAATTAGCCTCTGTTTCACGATGGTAATCAAGTTTTGTATTTATTTACGTCATNGGGGGGGGGGGGGGGGGGGGGGGGGGGGTTGCATCCTAAAACTAGGTCACTGACCTAAATTTGATCTCTGACTTTGACCTAAAAAACTAAAATAATTGTTTCCGGAATGTAACTTGGCTGCTATTTCATGAATGGGCAACAAACTTTGTATATTATAGATACATTATGGGGAGGTGGTGTGACATACAGTGGAACCCGCTTATTAGGATTATTATTATGATATTCTATTTGCCAGAGAAAAATATCATAATAACCGATTTATCGTAATATCCGGTCAAGCTGTTTTCGATCGTTTTAATGTTGTCTGAACCGGAAGTGAGATGTCCTACATTAATCAGACATAGATTGATGTGGAAACATGGACAAATATAAATACAAACTGATAAAGTAATAGTTAAAATAATTTGTTCATTGTTATTTATATCAGTGTGTTGGGAAAATTTAAGAAGATTTTGTTTTTCCGTCAAAATGATCAGTATGTAAATTCTACTTTCACTTTCAAATAACTTCGAGCATATTCCTAAGAACTATCTTTAAACTACATCCTACACTTGTAGCTAACAATATCGTAATGTTACCGTCAATAGGATGAAAGAAGTGATATAAATATTGTCATGATTTACTGATTTTGCAACGAGAAGTTGTGTTACATTGTGTCCCGTTAGCGTAAAACTATTTTGCCGCGCTATGTCAATTACGATCACGTGACTATCACATGCCTCGCAAGTCGTGCGTTGAAATCAACTTGCAAAGAAACAATTACATTTAAAAAACAAAACATTCCCATTTTAACAATAATCAAATATTGTATTTAAAGAAAATGGTGTAAGTTGTAAATAAAGCAGCCTTCCTCAGTTGTTTACGACAATAACATTCCATTTGGATCAATTTCCGGGAACCATGCTGTCAGGGCAGTATGTCCCAATTTTGACACTTTTTCAATGGAGACACGGGGAAATCAACTTCTAATGCAATAGAGAAACTATTGCTTAAATTATTAAAAACACATGTCTTCCTTCTGAAGTAATATTTTTATTGAAATCTGCATGATCTTCTCACATGACGTGTCAAGGTAACTGTGAAAGGCATGCTCGTTTTCTTATCGGAATTAGTGTTAGAAATACTGGTAGACCTAATTATTTCAGTTTTAGATAGCAATTAACTGCACCACATGTTTTGTTAAGATTAATATGTATACCCAGCAAGCGATGGTCCATCTATTGTTTTCCGCTGACTGGGGTGAAGTGAGGTGTGAAAAATTTACCTGGAGTGGACAGGTGATCACCTCGGGCGATGTACAGTTAGCCGGACCTATTGTTCATTTGTCCAGGTGTTTCACACGGACAACACCTTTGACCATATCATAATAAACGATATTTTTTTACTTAGTTTAAGAAGGAAAAAATTGGTACATGGGGGGGGGGGGAATGTCATAATAACCGATATATCATAATAAGTGGGTTCCACTGCATCTTAAAATGAGGAAACAAGGTCATTGACCTTAGTTTGACCTTTGACATTGATCTTAAGTGCTGAAATATTGGTTTTGGGAACATCTCAGCTGAACGGACATTAAGCTTTGTATGTAGGTACCCTCATGGGAAAAATAACGGGTCAGTATGTGTTTACCGTTAAATATTTACATGTTTGATTCTAATTGTTTTTAAAGGCAAACTATTAGGATAAATTGAATTGGACGAAGTTTGTGTTGTACACTGTTCGGGTTTTAACATGTTACAGTCTCAGACGGAGATTAGGTCTGCAGCCCTTGTGAAGGAGGAATCTGAACAATTCCTCACCAACGCCCTTGACCTTGAACAGGAAGTTGATGATAGCAGTAACAGTGCTAATGGTAAGTTAAGTAAGCAGTGCTAATGGTAAGTTAAGTAAGCAGTGCTAATGGTAAGTTAAGTAAGCAGTGCTAATGGTAAGTTAGTAAGCAGTGCTAATGGTAAGTTAGTAAGCAGTGCTAATGGTAAATTAAGTAAGCAGTGCTAATGGTAAATTAAGTTTATAGATTACATTTCATGATTGAAAAGTGCAGCTTCAACACAAAAGTGAAGCTTTTACCAAAATTATGCTAAAATTGATGTTGATGACTCATTCTCAAGAAGAAACAATTTTGAAGATTTTTCTTTCTTTTTGCAAATTGAAGGGTTGCAGGATAATAGATACAAGATTTATTTTGGTTTGAGGTCCTTAAACAATTGTTGCTTTTGTGACCTTCCATCTGACTCCAGATCAAAAATTGAACACTAGTTTATATGTGAGGTTGCCTAAATTTTTATCTTACTTCAATCTGACATTGACAGTATTAAATAGTAAACTATTCTGTGTACATAAATTGTATATTGTATACGAAGATATTCTGCTATAAGAGAAATCATACAAATTTGTACAGCTTTGAATTACAGTTTCAAGATTTTTAGTCCTGCATTATGGACTAAAGTGATATTTACTGTCAAGTTAAATTATTGGAAGGTCTCTGTAAAAAATAATCTTTCTACCGAAAAAAATGACCCTCTATACATTAGTATTATTAAATAACCTTCACTGTTATATGACCCTGACCTCACAGTGGTGTTAAATGACCTTCACTATTATATGACCTTGACCTCACAGCGGCTATGCAGGATGTCGAGGATGTCCTTGCCACTATCCTGAGGGGTATCCAGGTGACAAACATCGACACATACATTGAGCAGTCGACCAATCTCTTGGATGACATCATGGCAGTCAACATGACCGGAATCAAGGACAAAGCAGATTCTGCCGTTATGGATATTTTCAAGTGTAAGTACCTTGATAGAATCGGGGAATAACCAAATGTGTAGGGGTGTAGAGGTGGATATGTTACATATTTAGTTAAAATAAGTCGCCAAGAGCTTTCGAAATTGAACTTATGTTGGGTTTTTTCTAATTAAAAACAGTGTTGCATAAAATTTCAATTCCCCGACTTTGTTTCAGAAACAGTGCTGTGAATTCAGACTCTTCTAAATTAATACTCTATACTGTAACTATACAGGTCAATAAAGCAATGAGAAGTTAAATCTTAAATACCATCGAGTAATTTTGGACATATTTACTATGACTATGATTTTGTGCTTAGTGGACTTGGACAGGTTCAGGAATGCTCACATTGCGGGTGAGAAAGAGGCTGAGAGGCTTGCCAATGCCGTCAACGACCTGGCCGACAGTCTGTACAGCCTACAGGAACACGGTCAACAAAGTCTCACCAACTCCTCCGACACCATGACCCTCGTGGCCAAGATCAGACAGCTGAGCCTCAGTATCATTGATGTAAGTGGGCACACTAGGGATGCTCCATGTGGGCTTTAGGAAGATTTTGTTGTTGTGGGCACACTCGGGATGCTCCATGTGGGCTTTAGGAAGATTTTGTTGTTGTGGGCACATTCTGGCTGCTCCATGTGGGCTTTGGGAAGATTTTGTTGTTGTGGGCACACTCGGGATACTCCATGTGGTCTTTAGGAAGATTTTGTTGTTGTGGGCACATTCTGGATGCTCCATGTGGGCTTTGGGAAGATTTTGTTGTTGTGGGCACACTAGGGATGCTCCATGTGGGCTTTAGGAAGATTTTGTTGTTGTGGGCACAATCGGGATGCTCCATGTGGGCTTTGGGAAGATTTTGTTGTTGTGGGCACACTAGGGATGCTCCATGTGGGCTTTAGGAAGATTTTGTTGTTGTGGGCACATTCGGGATGCTCCATGTGGGCTTTGGGAGGATTTTGTTGTTGTGGGCACACCCGGGATGCTCCATGTGGGTTTTGGGAAGATTTTGTTGTTGTGGGCACACTCGGGATACTCCATGTGTGCTTTGGGAAGATTTTGTTGTTGTGGGCACACTTGGGATGCTCCATGTGGGCTTTGGGAAGATTTTGTATTTGTGGGAACTTTCAAGATGCTTCATATTGGCTTTAGGAAGATTTTGTTGTTGTGGGAACTTTCAAGATGCTTCATATGGGATTCAGAAGAATTTCAGTGCAGGGCACGTTGGCACACACTGGATGTTCAGGGGGGATTGAGGAGCATTTCAGATTTTATATTAAGACAATCAGTGTAGTGTTGAAAGACTAATACGTATATGATATGTGTAAATGTTTCAAAGTTTACTAAAGGGGATTACTAAAGGGGATGTTCTATAGTTACTCTTGTGATAACTGTCATTAACTTTCAACCTTGAACAGCTACGTCTGCAGGGAGTGGAGGAATCCAGCAGAGATACGGAGATGATCCTGAGGATGTCCCAGAGAGAGGTGGCCGAAGCACTTCAGGCTTTGGAGACATGCAAGGCCGACAGCCAGGTTTGTACCTCTCAGGTTTAGTCGCTCTAAGCATAGTTAACAAAGAACATTATACTGCTACAGGCTTTGTAGACGTGCAAGGCTGACAGCCAGGTTTGTACCTCTCAGGTTTAGTCGCTCTAAGCATAGTTAATGAAGAACATGTTACTGCTACAGGCTTTGGAGACATGCAAGGCTGACAGCCAGATTTGTACCTCTCAGGTTTAGTCGCTCTAAGCATAGTTAACAAAGAACATTATACTGCTACAGGCTTTGTAGACAGGCAAGGCCGACAGCCAGATTTGTACCTCTCAACTCAGTGTGGGGCACCTGTTGCTAGCATGTTACTGGTACCCTGGGCTAATGTCATGTCTTTTCATGATAAAATTATGTTAACATAAAGTAAGGAAGCCTGTAGTGTTACCCATGTCTGTAAGGGAGCCTGTAGTGTTACACATGTCTGTAAGGGAGCCTGTAGTGTTACCCATGTCTGTAGGGGAGCCTGTAGTGTTACCCATGTCTGTAAGGGGGCCTGTAGTGTTACCCATGTCTGTAAGGGAGCCGGTAGTGTTACCCATGTCTGTAAGGGAGCCTGTAGGGTTACCCATGTCTGTAAGGGAGCCTGTAGTGTTCCCCATGTCTGTAAGGGAGCCTGTAGTGTTCCCCATGTCTGTAAGGGAGCCTGTATTGTTACCCATGTCTGTAAGGGAGCCTGTATTGTTACCCATGTCTGTAAGGCAGCCTGTAGTGTTACCCATGTCTGTAAGGGAGCTTGTAGTGTTACCCATGTCTGTAAGGGAGCCTGTAGTTTTACCCATGTCAGTAAGGGAGCCTGTAGTGTTACCCATGTCTGTGAGGGAGCCTGTAGTGTTACCCATGTCTGTAAGGGGGCCTGTAGTGTTACCCATGTCTGTAAGGGAGCCTGTAGGGTTACCCATGTCTGTAAGGGAGCCTGTAGTGTTCCCCATGTCTGTAAGGGAGCCTGTATTGTTACCCATGTCTGTAAGGGAGCCTGTAGTGTTCCCCATGTCTGTAAGGGAGCCTGTAGTGTTCCCCATGTCTGTAAGGGAGCCTGTAGTGTTCCCCATGTCTGTAAGGGAGCCTGTAGTGTTCCCCATGTCTGTAAGGGAGCCTGTAGTGTTCCCCATGTCTGTAAGGGAGCCTGTAGTGTTCCCCATGTCTGTAAGGGAGCCTGTAGTGTTCCCCATGTCTGTAAGGGAGCCTGTATTGTTACCCATGTCTGTAAGGGAGCCTGTATTGTTACCCATGTCTGTAAGGGAGCCGGTAGTGTTACCCATGTCTGTAAGGCAGCCTGTAGGGTTACCCATGTCAGTAAGGGAGCCTGTAGTGTTCCCCATGTCAGTAAGGGAGCCTGTAGTGTTACCCAAGTCTGTAAGGGAGCCTGTAGTGTTACCCATGTCGGTAAGGGAGCCTGTAGTGTTACCCATGTCAGTAAGGAAGCCTGTAGTGTTACCCATGTCTGTAAGGGAGCCTGTAGGGTTACCCATGTCTGTAAGGGAGCCTGTAGTGTTCCCCATGTCTGTAAGGGAGCCTGTAGTGTTCCCCATGTCTGTAAGGGAGCCTGTAGTGTTCCCCATGTCTGTAAGGGAGCCTGTATTGTTACCCATGTCTGTAAGGGAGCCTGTATTGTTACCCATGTCTGTAAGGGAGCCGGTAGTGTTACCCATGTCTGTAAGGGAGCCTGTAGGGTTACCCATGTCTGTAAGGGAGCCTGTAGTGTTCCCCATGTCTGTAAGGCAGCCTGTAGTGTTACCCATTTCAGTAAGGGAGCCTGTAGTGTTACCCATGTCATTAAGGGAGCCTGTAGGGTTACCCATGTCTGTAAGGGAGCCTGTAGTGTTCCCCATGTCTGTAAGGGAGCCTGTAGTGTTCCCCATGTCTGTAGGGCAGCCTGTAGTGTTACCCATGTCAGTAAGGGAGTCTGTAGTGTTACCCATGTCTGTAAGGGAGCCTGCAGTGTTACCCATGTCTGTAAGGGAGCCTGTAGTGTTACCCATGTCTGTTACGTTATGACTCAATGTCGTGGCTCGACAGATTTAAAGTCTTAACAGATTTTTATCAAAGTATATGCAAAGGTCAAGTATGAGACTTTATCAAAGTTTATACAAAGGTGAAGTATGAGATTTTATCAAAGTTTATTCAATGGTCAAGTATGAGAATACTTCAGATGAGTTTGTATTTCAGGGTCCCAAGTTGGAGGTCAAGGTCAATGTTACTATTAATAGGTCAACTATGTGGCCAAGGGGTCATTCATGTCCGAAAGTCTTTTTCTAGTTTCTCTGTGTATTTCATATAACATAAATTATAAAATATTTTTTTTACAGATAATATGTTTCTACTTTATATCATGTTTTCATGCAATAAATGACATTATGATGAAACACTGTTAAGTATTAATGATTGAATGAAGGTACAAAGTTGTTTCCTCCATATTTAAAATTTCCATGTGTTTTATTTCTTTTTTTTCCCAATCATGTGATCGCTATTGTAGACGGTGAGCGACCAGTCAAATTCTCTAGAAGATGGCATCAATCAGCTCAACGTGATTGATCAGGATTTGAGTGACAATTTGAGTGATTTGGATGTGAAGCTACTGGACGTACAGACTCATGCCGGTAGCTTGGTTGATCAGGCAAAAATGCTGGAGAGGTATTTTGTATTTTCTGATTTTTGCTGTCCTGTCCCTCCCAGTTGCAATTCATTATAATGACTCGATCGACTATATTTCTGAACAGATTTACATCAAAAGTTCAAACAAAGGTCAAATATGTGAATATGACGATGTTATACCCAGAATCAGAATATGCAATGACACTGGTACAACACAAGGCCAGACATGATAAGATGTCAGGAAATTATGATGTCAGGAATAGGTTTCTCTGTAGCACTCATTTTTCACATGATACTAGAATTTGTGTTCAACGCATAATAAATATTTACTTAAAAATAAGTATTGCCATTTTAAACAGTGTGTACACCGACACTCGAGATACAGCTGCCCTTGCTCTCAGGGCTGCCAATGCCTACGAGGGTATCGTCATGGCGATAAACGATGCATACAACGCCTCGCGTACAGCAACAGGGGTGGCAACTCACGCTCTCGGAAAGGTAAGTCGTAAACTATGACAGATGGTCTTCAATGTTTGTAATTTAATCGTAAAATAGGCCAATTAATTGCAAGTGGCTGATGTTCGATGCTGCTAAATGCCAAGCTGTGTTCACTAATTGTCAGGCTTTGCTTGTGTGTTTTATTGTTGTTGTTATATACATGTGTGTATCAGTCAGACTTCAAACTGCTAGCTTTAATGGTACAAGGATTGTTATAAAAAAGAGAATAATATATAGGCTGAATAGTAGACCAGTATACTTGGGGGATACATCAGTGATCCACTATGTAAGTACAGGTGTCATGGAAACGGAGGACTGCTCTTGCTTGCAGAAGGAACAGATCTTTTAATGTTGATGTTCAAACTTGTGGCTTGTGAAAGGGAAACCTACCAGTTGTTCGGTTTATGATGTATATAGGTACCTGTATATAGCATGTATTCCCAGTTTCAGTGAAATATCCAATTTCAGATTTTCCCTATGCATTTTCAAGCAAAATCTACAAATATATTATATTTCCTAATATCATAAAGGAAAAGCCTCCAAAATATTCCCTGTTTTTATACCTCTCCACATGTAATTAGTTTTGACATATTTCTGATCCTGATTTCCTTTATCCTGTTTTAAGATATCTTATAATTAATTGATTCGTTCAAAATGTTTTGATTTGTGTTTGATGCCTGGGCTGGTACTGTTTGATGCCTGGGCTGGTACTGTTTGATGCCTGGGCTGGTACTGTTTGATGCCTGGGCTGGTACTGTTTGATGCCTGGGCTGGTACTGTTTGATGCCTGGGCTGGTACTGTTTGATGCCTGGGCTGGTACTGTTTGATGCCTGGGCTGGTACTGTTTGATGCCTGGGCTGGTACTGTTTGATGCCTGGGCTGGTACTGTTTGATGCCTGGGCTGGTACTGTTTGATGCCTGGGCTGGTACTGTTTGATGCCTGGGCTGGTACTGTTTGATGCCTGGGCTGGTACTGTTTGATGCCTGGGCTGGTACTGTTTGATGCCTGGGCTGGTACTGTTTGATGCCTGGGCTGGTACTGTATTTGTCTCAATATACACCATTGCTTATGTGAAGAAATAGTGTGCTATCAAAAAATTATTCAAATGACTTTTGTATAGACATAGAAAATCTTCGATTTTGGCAAATATTTGTAAAAAAACATCTAATAATGCTACAATTTGTCCAGCAAAGTTCAGCTTTGTAAAGGGTTTTGATGATATATTAATTGAAATGTATTGAGGAGTAGTTGAGAAAAGGGAAGTAAGTGAGGTGGTGAAGGAAAGCAGGGGGGCTAAATACAGTTCTACAGTACATAAAAAAGTGGGGCATTATACAGAGGTTTTACAGTATATAATTGAGAAACATTCAAAAGACATTTATATGTTTATTGCTCAATTGTGCCTGAACTTTCCACAAGATATTAGTGAGCTTCAGGACCATTGTCTAGTACACAGGACAAGATTTCTGGTGTTGCCTTCCTCATTTCAGAACCACTGGACAAAATTTCAAGACTCTTATACCTGTTGTCTAGTATATCGTTCAAAGTATTTTGTAATTGATTGTTCCGACAAATTAACACTTAATTAATCCCTGAAGGAACAGAAGAATACATAATTGTCCAGTCCAAGTAATAGTGAAGTAAAAGTTTAAATGGCTCAACACTGAACCTGAAAATCAAGATTATGCAGTAATGTAGAAATTAGTTTTTTATTATTGGTAAAAGAACGGCATTGTCCAGACTTTACAGGCTCTGCTTGATTAGTTGTATGCCAGTCTGAAGCACAATGTGATTATCATGTGATCTAGTTTAGGGAACAAGACCAGCTCTGGGGATTATCATTAGGACTTCTTTAGAGTAATTAATGGTGAAAATATGAGATTGTTTGGACTTCATGAAGTATCGTTACTTACAGTTGAAAATGTTACTGTCTGAACTTAATGAATGTCTCCTTAGTATAAGTATAAGAGAACTTCCTGGACTTATCTCAGTGATTTTAGGTGAGAATAACATCATCAGTACTTTCTAGATAATCATTTTAACACCAGCAAGGTAATAATGTGCTTGTGAAAGAACAGCCCAGTCGAGTCTTGTTTCCAATGTGGTCTACAGATCGAGCTGAGCCATAGTGATAATTAGCGAGAGAATGACATTGTCCAACTTTTAAAATTACTTACGAATTACAGTATGGCATCTTCCAGTTTAGACTTTGTGAATTAAATATAGCCATGAGAATGGATTCTTTTTATTTAAGGAAGTATGAGTGAGAGAATGGCATTGTCCACGCTTTGTATATGAAGTATTTCTGGTTGAGAGAATGACTTTGTCCACGCTTTGTATATGAAGTATTTATGGTTGAGAGAGTGGCATTGTCCTCGCTTTGTATATGAAGTATTTTTGGTTGAGAGAGGGGCATTGTCCACGCTTTGTATAAGAAGTATTTCTGGTTGAGAGAATGACTTTGTCCACGCTTTGTATATGAAGAATTTCTGGTTGAGAGAATGGCATTGTCCACGCTTTGAATATGAAGTATTTCTGGTTGAGAGAATGACTTTGTCCACGCTTTGTATATGAAGAATTTCTGGTTGAGAGAATGGCATTGTTCACGCTTTGTATTTGAAGTATTTCTGCTTGAGAGAATGGCATTGTCCACGCTTTGTATAAGAAGTATTTCTGGTTGAGAGAATGACTTTGTCCACGCTTTGTATATGAAGAATATCTGGTTGAGAGAATGGAATTGTCCACGCTTTGTATATGAAGTATTTTTGGTTGAGAGAGTGGCATCATCACCACTTTGCGACCTAACTATGGTTGATTGTATGGCATCGTTTAGACTAATTGTGGGGTTTTCATTTCAGGTGTTCCTAACTCCCGTAAGGACTCGTATTTATACACATTATATATACATACCGTAGCTACTGACATAACCCCTGGAGGCATCAGCTCTCCCATTAACCCCTAATCCAGCAGTGTGACAGACGTTCAATTTGGGACAGTCTTCACAAAACCTGGATTGATTCTTGAAATTATTTATGAATTAAAATTTCAGAGCTGTTTCCTCCATTCGACATATTAAAGTAAGACCTGTCTCAACCAAACATCACATAGACCACTTTTTTGTTCAGAGTACACAGGTTTTTAGATAATGCAGGTTGGATTATATAGACATGTATACAATTGGACCTTATAGAGGGTCTGGTGTAGACAGGATTCCAAAATGTACAGTGAGATCAACTTAACCCTTTCACCCCTAAGTAACTTTAGTAGACTCTATCATACATTTATCTGGGTGAGTCCATTATGGTCTACAGTGGTGAAAGGGTTAAAGGCCTGGTCTATAAGCCTTTCAGATTAAAATGATGTAGGTTTATGCAGGTTTTTGGTTTAGACAGGTTACACAATATGTATTCCGTACCATACTCAACATAGATCTAGAATAGAAACAAAATTTGTGGTGAACATCAAAAACCCTTAAATATAATAGAAACACATAATAACATGCCTAGCCCCTAATAAGGATCCCCCGACTCCTTTCTTCCCATGAGCCTTTGTGGCCCCAGTAGAATAGAGACCGACTAATGGGCATGGTGAAGTCTGGTCCGATTTGATTTTCTTTATTTACATTGAATACAAACTAAGTGGTGAATGATTTGTAAGCTGAAGTGTTATGACAGGATTAAACTGCTTTGTAAAGTGATAAGAACAAGGTTTACCCCTTTAAAACATTTTGTTGATATTATCTGGTCAGGGCAGCATGTTTTATGTGACATTTTCATGCAACGATAGTAAAAGAAAAAAATAGTCTGTTAGAAATTAAAAGCAGTAAGCAATTGGACAGTGCTGCATGCATCCCTTAGCAACGATGATCTAACGGACAATGAGGATTACAGTCTCACTGCTGTTGTAACCTAGTCATTGTCTGTATCTTGTTCCTGTTGTGGATTCCAGTATAATTAAACTTGTACCTACTGCACTAACAGAATGCAGCCGTAGAGTATTGTTTTCTCAACCTGGTTCTATTTTTGTAAACAAATTTTTGGCTAATAAATTACAAATCAATTTTGATATAAGCTCCTGGAAGATTCCAAATATACAGTAAATAATGATGCAGATGCTTGATCTGCAGAAAAGGAACCTGATGACAAAAAAATATGTCTGCATTGAAATATATCCCATAGTCAATGTAGCACTGTATTAATATTTAATTCAATACGGTGAAATCAACACACTTTGGGGTATTGGTTTATAATAAAATAATATCTGAACTTTTGGTCCACTTTTCACATTTTAATGATGGAAAGTTTTACCAATTAAAAATGTACTATGTAAGATTTACAGGCCTTTTAGACCTCTTGATGGTATAATATTAAACACTACAGTTTAATACCAGTATGTACCAGTAGGTATATTTCTGGTTTCCAACATACCACAGCCAAAAACATTTCCTTGTATCAAAATTTACACATTGTATACCAGGTATAAAAATGTATATAAATATAATCTGTAATAACAATTTGTAGATATTGGGTATTTACAGATATATGAAATAAGTTTTTGTTGTAGCCTATATCAAAATGTCACATCCCTTTGCAGAGTTAGTTCCCCTTAGTCAAACAGTTTTTAAATCTACATGTTATTTTAATCTTATACCACCCTGTGTTTAACCTCAACTTCAAAATTCAAATGACCCAATCACATGTTTCTTAAGCTTCTCCTGGCTTGAAAACTCGAAATGAATTATATGATACGATACAAGAAACATTTTCATATGTTTGACCTTTTTAAAACCAAACTGAAGATTTTTAAGGGACAAATTTCCATTTCTTCTATTTAAGTTTTCCGTTAATTAAGCTGGCTGTTTAATGAATGTGATTTGAGAATGACTTGAAACATTTTGCTTTGACAAATTTTCNGGGGGGGAGGGGGGTCTTATTACCAAGCACGGGCTTATCACTGGTTATATACAGTACTAAAACCTTATGTGGTATGGGTGTGGAAATATACTAATACTGGTTAAGGTGAACATCGTACTCATAGATAGAGCTACTTCATCAACGTCTAAAGTATCAGTTTATAGGGAACAATTATTGTTCTTGATATTTTAAATTGAATTCTAATCACACCAATTAAAATATAAAGTGTATTTAAAGTTATGAATATACATGCTAAAATTGAAGAACTAAACTACGACGTTTAACACCTACAGTGCTGGAGGAATTAAATGAATGACAAGTATAATTATGTTGTTGGTTTATGCTTCAAACTTTGATATTTTTTCAAATATCTTATAAAGAACTATGTATAAAGTATTTTCCAACTTGGCTATTGCAGTCATTCGGTGTTGGGGATGTGTCTGCCAACCACAGGAATAGGAGTGCTGAACTCCTTGAAGCTGCCGAAAAGAAACTTAGAGAAACCGACATGGGTAGGTAGCTTTTCAATGGAGATACATGTTAACCTACTGTGGAAGACATTTTTATTAGTAGATTACTTACGAGAAATGCAACAAAACGCTTCAAGGAATAAACACTGCCTAGGTTATGAAAAGTGTAAAATTTGCCTGTTTTGTGTTCAGACTTGCAGGAGAGACTGGAGGATGCGACCTTCAACACCGACAAGGTCGAGGACACCAACCAGGAAGCGAAGGACCGACTTGACAACGTCAACATACAACTGCCTCCACTGGAATCCAGTAAGTAGATGGAAACTTTCACTTTCATTCCCAAAATTGAGGATATGTGTAGAGGTAAGGATGTATGCTAACTGACTGTGGCATAAATCTTTTTATATGCCCGTCAAATTTGACGGGAGTATTATGATATGGGTTTGTCCGTCCGGCGTAAACTTTTGTTGTCCGGCAATCTTCTCCTATATTTTTCGACTGATTTCTTTGAAACTTGGTATACGCGGTACTCTTGTTTCAAAAAGATTTCCCTAGTAAGATATGTTTATGAATGCCAATATGGATTTAGTGCTTACACAATTAAATGTTGCACAAGAATTGATGAAACATTAAAGGGTACACAATAATTGATGATGCATTTAAAAGAAATTCAAGAATTGATGACATATTTAAAAGGTACACAGGAATTGATGATGCATTAAAAGGTACACAAATGCAAAATAAAGTGACTTGCAGTACATGTTATACTACTATAAATACTGCAGACCTTTATCGACTTTGTATGACTTTGCTACCTAACTGATAATATTGGTGAGACATTTGATGACATTCTATGGTATCTTGACAGATACAGTTGGTACGAGGGCCAGAGATGCTATAACATTAGCCAACGCAGCTAGTCAAATGACTGCAGACGCTGGGAATAAGGTCAAAAACATCATCAGAAACTTGCCCTCAAACAAAGCAAAGGTTGAGAAACTCTTCAATGACAACACCAAGACGAAAAAAAACACGCAGTACGCAGAGCAGCAGAGTAAGTATTTCCATTGATATTTAAATTAAGAGGTCAAAGTTCATCAAAGTTTTTCAATAGATGTGGTTAGAAGTCAAGGTGTTGAGCAATTGTTTGCAGTAAAATAAAATTGGGCAGGACAATAAGAGTTTGATAATGTTTTCTTACCTACAGCCCAGGATGTCAAGGAGAAAGTGCCACAGATTATGGACCTGATTGAGCTGGTTGGAACACAATCCAAGAATGTGCGTAGTCTTCGTGACAGTGTGATGGGTAACATCACAGAACTGCGAGAAAAGATTATACTGGCACGTGACGAGGCAAACAGGGTGAGATAATCATGTTCATTTGACTTGTATAACATTCTTAGTAATTAGACTCTAACATGTGTACGGAATAATTCAATTTGACATTGTCACCACATCTATTGTTCATTTTACCACAAGTTAACCCCTGCAATGAAATTAGAGGGGTACACCAGAATCATGTTATCTGTCCTTCCGTCTGTCCGTCTATCGGTATACACTACTCTAGTTCTGGACCCTGATATAAATGATACTTTGGATGCCTTGCACATCTCTCTAACTTAACTAAGATTTATGGGCCTCGCTGTAATTATCTGTTACCCTATAGACACAATTATTGATTTTAACAAAACATTACACAACTGTACACATATCTTACCCATCAAACAAACCTGTGCACGTGTGACCATGTTGTTTCCGTTGATAAAGATTGAGGGGTAGCACTGTTGTTTGTTCGGTAAATTTTCGCCCCAGTTTAACTTTCGCTTCAGAGCTTGGACTCGACTGTGAGTATGGAGGAGGAGGACGTATTGCAATTTTTCTGGTATAGCAGTCATGTGGGGATATAAATTAGCATCTGGGTAACATTTCTAATTTTCTCCCTACTGGTATGCAAGTTTCTGCCATCTAAGACTTATTGTGATGAAACGTTCTATGTTTTTGTTTGCAGATCCGTGTTGGAATGGAGTTCCTTGGCAACACAACAGTTGCCCTGAGAAACCCACCAGATATTGACCTGGCTGGGTCATACAGTCGCCTCACGACCTACATCCGTACCCAGCAGAGTGACGCATTGCTGGCCTACATTGGGGCAGAATTCATCCCGGACAGACCTGATCCCGTAAGTATATAATCTAATGATGGGAAACATTTTTCTTACGGGTAAGGAAATTCATATTTAGTTAACTTTAAAATCCAACTTGATTTTATTACAAATTTATCCCAGCAGTTTCAGCGGGACATTAATTTTGGTTGTGTTAGCTATTTTGAGTTGGTCTGATGTTTCTTCATTTTCAACTTTCCTTCCGCAGGACTTTCTGGCCTTGGAACTACGCGACGGCCGAGTTATGTTTAAATATGACCTGGGGACAGGAGCCGCAGAGATCAGCCACCCATGGAGTGTAAATGACAACCAGTGGTACAAGGTTGTGGCTGAGCGGTGAGTCGACCCCCTACTAATTCTACTTCCTTCTTTACTGTGTAAATATGGTGTACTGTCTAGAGTTATCTGATCTTTAGTCAGATAATATAGAGATATTATATTTTATTTGAATTTATAATAAATCTGTTGAGGATATTTTATTTGAATTTATAATAAATCTGTTGATGTGCTTGTATAGGATTGGTAAGACGGGCACTCTGACACTGGAGCGTGACGTAGGTGTCGGGGTGGAGAGTGACAAGGCAAGTGGCAACTCGTCAGGAATATTTACTGTACTGGAACTGAACCCTGTCACAACCAAGTTCTATCTCGGAGGCGTGCCTAGTACGACTATGGTAAGTGTTTACTACAAGACTATTTCATTCCATAAATGCTGACAACTTATGATGACGATATAGTATATCTAGACCAAGATCTAGGGTAATCGGGTATGATGACGATATAGTATATCTAGATCATGATCTAGGGTGATCGGGTATGATGACGATATAGTATATCTAGATCAAGATCTAGGGTAATCGGGTATGATGACGATATAGTATATCTAGATCAAGAACTAGGGTGATGGGGTATGATGACGATATAGTATATCTAGATCAAGATCTAGGGTAATCGGGTATGATGACGATATAGTATATCTAGACCAAGATCTAGGGTGATCGGGTATGATGACGATATAGTATATCTAGATCAAGATCTAGGGTGATCGGGTATGATGACGATATAGTATATCTAGACCAAGATCTAGGGTGATCGGGTATGATGACGATATAGTATATCTAGACCAAGATCTAGGGTGATCGGGTATGATGACGATATAGTATATCTAGACCAAGATCTAGGGTGATCGGGTATGATGACGATATAGTATATCTAGACCAAGATCTAGGGTGATCGGGTATGATGACGATATAGTATATCTAGACCAAGATCTAGGGTGATCGGGTATGATGACGATATAGTATATCTAGACCAAGATCTAGGGTGATCGGGTATGATGACGATATAGTATATCTAGACCAAGATCTAGGGTGATCGGGTATGATGACGATATAGTATATCTAGACCAAGATCTAGGGTGATCGGGTATGATGACGATATAGTATATCTAGACCAAGATCTAGGGTAATCGGGTATGATGACGATATAGTATATCTAGATCAAGATCTAGGGTGATGGGGTATGATGACGATATAGTATATCTAGATCAAGTTCTAGGGAAATCGGGTATGATGACGATATAGTATATCTAGACCAAGATCTAGGGTGATCGGGTATGATGACGATATAGTATATCTAGACCAAGATATAGGGTGATCGGGTATGATGACGATATAGTATATCTAGACCAAGATCTGGGGTAATCGGGTATGATGACGATATAGTATATCTAGATCAAGATCTAGGGTGATCAATGGTGCAGTGGATAGCACACATGCTTCTCAACACCTGCTGTTCAAGATCCCGATTGGATATGAAAAGGTATTGAGTCACCTGCCTGACTCGGGTGATATTTGTGGTCTGTACTTCAGTCACCTATTTCTGTTGACAGTTGCCGAGGACAGTCATAGGCTCCAACTATTACGAAGGTGCTATGGAGGGTGTGGCATTTGACAGTCAACCAATGGGAATCTGGAACTTTGTTTACGGTGACAATAACTACATTGGAGCCATAGAAAGGTAAGACAAAGGAAATAATAAGCCGAGTAAATTACTTACAGTGTCTGAAAGTTGGATTTTTTTTACATTTCTAATGGAGAATGGTAAAGTATCAGTAATTAAAGAATTTTTACGAAAAGTTTTCTTCAATTTTAAGGTTTGTTAAATCTTCAGTTCTTGACCTACCCTTTTACAGAAAAAATAATGACCTCTCAAATTATGAATGATGAACAGTATCCACTATCGCTGTTTCAAGTGACATAAGAATACTATTAATTTACAGGAATGTTCTGGTTGAGGAAAAATCCAATGGCTTCAGCTTCAATGGTAACGGCTATGCCATAGTAAGTGCCAGAGAAGTTAACTTCCGTCCCCAACAGAAGGCCACCATCATCATGCATTTCAAGACTTATGCTAGTAACGGGCTTCTGTTCTTTATGGGGAAGGGGCGTGACTTCAGCTCCATTGAACTACGTGATGGCAGGATATCCTTTCAGTATGACTTGGGAGGCATGCCTGCCAAATTGATGACAGTACAGACTTACAACGACGGTGCATGGCACAAGATCCAAGCGGCTCGGGACAAACAGACAGGATTCCTGAGAGTCGACGAGGAAGGTAGGTTTTATCAGCACATTTTTTCGTTTGAACATTTTTATTTTTGAAACACTATAAATCTAGAAGACAGTGTCATGGTGCTCATTTATGTTCCTGCATTTGATGTTTTGGAACCCTCTATCATTGAGGTAGGAAGGGATATAGGGTTTTACCTGTTCATACATCTGTAAAGATGGCCGTGAACACTTAGCGCTAGTGACTTCATTATCAATACATGTTGATGTATTATTGAATTATTTGGGATGACAATACCTTGTTTTACACATACATTTAAGGGGAGCTGCATTTCAAAGTCAAATTCACATCCTTCACTTACTATGTAAGAAAAATGTTTTTAATTGTTTTGACTATATATTATGTCTCCCTGGATACAAAGCCAAACCCCTTTAAAATGCCCTAGTTGGACTGGGCACATGGTGGCTTTGTTACAAAGTAGTATCTTAATGTAATGTTAAATTGTTTGGAGGGCACCTGAGCTTTGAAAATTGTTGATTCACCTCCAGCTGTTTACCTATGGTTCATGTTACAGCCGGAATAGAGGGTAGGTCGCCGGGTACACTAGCCTCCCTCTCCTACACAGACGACATCTTCATAGGAGGATTCAACGAGCTCATCATGCCAGTCAAGTAAGTAGCCCTCCATCTGACTGTTACAGAGCATAGTAAGAAGCCCTCCATCTGACTGTTACGGAGCATAGAAAAAAGCCCTCCATCTGACTGTTACGGAGCATGGAAAGTAGCCCTCCATCTGACTGTTACGGAGCATAGAAAGTAGCCCTCCATCTGACTGTTACTGAGCATAGAGAGTAGCCCTCCGTCTGACTGTTACTGAGCATAGAAAGTAGCCCTCCGTCTGACTGTTACGGAACATAGAAAGTAAACCTCCATCTGACTGTTACGGAGCATAGATAGTAGCCCTCCATCTGACTGTTACAGAGCATAGAAAGTAGCCCTCCATCTGACTGTTACTGAGCATAGAAAGTAAACCTCCATCTGACTGTTACGGAGCATAGAAAGTAGCCCTCCATCTGACTGTTACGCAGCATAGAAAGTAGCCCTCCGTCTGACTGTTACGGAGCATAGAAAGTAGCCCTCCGTCTGACTGTTACAGAGCATAGAAAGTAGCCCTCCATCTGACTGTTACTGAGCATAGAGAGTAGCCCTCCGTCTGACTGTTACTGAGCATAGAAAGTAGCCCTCCGTCTGACTGTTACGGAACATAGAAAGTAGCCCTCCATCTGTCTGTTACGGAACATAGATAGTAGCCCTCCATCTGTCTGTTACGGAACATAGATAGTAGCCCTCCATCTGTCTGTTACGGAACATAGAAAGAAGCCCTCCATCTGTCTGTTACGGAACATAGAAAGAAGCCCTCCATCTGTCTGTTACGGAACATAGAAAGTAGCCCTCCATCTCCTCCATCTGACTGTTACTGAGCATAGAAAGTAAACCTCCATCTGACTGTTACGGAGCATAGATAGTAGCCCTCGAACTGACTGTTACGAAGCATAGAAAGTAGCCCTCCATCTGACTGTTACGGAGCATAGAAAGTAGTCCTCCGTCTGACTGTTACGGAGCATAGTAAATAGCCCTCCGTCTGACTGTTACGGAGCATAGAAAATCGCCCTCCGTCTGACTGTTACGGAGCATAGAAAGTAGCCCTCCGTCTGACTGTTACGGAACATAGAAAGTAATCCTCCATCTGACTGTTACGGAGCATAGATAGTAGCCCTCGAACTGACTGTTACGAAGCATAGAAAGTAGCCCTCCATCTGTCTGTTACGGAACATAGAAAGTAGCCCTCCATCTGTCTGTTATGGAACATAGAAAGTAGCCCTGCATCTGTCTGTTACGGAGCATAGAAAGTAGCCCTCCGTCTGACTGTTACAGAGCATAGAAAGTAGCCCTCCATCTGTCTGTTACGGAACATAGATAGTAGCCCTCCATCTGTCTGTTACGGAACATAGATAGTAGCCCTCCATCTGTCTGTTACGGAACATAGATAGTAGCCCTCCATCTGTCTGTTACGGAACATAGAAAGAAGCCCTCCATCTGTCTGTTACGGAACATAGAAAGAAGCCCTCCATCTGTCTGTTACGGAACATAGAAAGAAGCCCTCCATCTGTCTGTTACGGAACATAGAAAGCAGCCCTCCATCTGTCTGTTACGGAACATAGAAAGTAGCCCTCCATCTGTCTGTTACGGAGCATAGAAAGTAGCCCTCCGTCTGACTGTTACGGAACATAGAAAGTAGCCCTCCATCTGTCTGTTAGGGAACATAGAAAGTAGCCCTCCATCTGTCTGTTAGGGAACATAGAAAGTAGCCCTCCATCTGTCTGTTAGGGAACATAGAAAGTAGCCCTCCATCTGTCTGTTACGGAACATAGATAGTAGCCCTCCATCTGTCTGTTACGGAACATAGATAGTAGCCCTCCATCTGTCTGTTACGGAACATAGAAAGTAGCCCTCCATCTCCTCCATCTGACTGTTACTGAGCATAGAAAGTAACCCTCCGTCTGACTGTTACGGAACATAGAAAGTAGCCCTCCATCTGTCTGTTACGGAACATAGATAGTAGCCCTCCATCTGTCTGTTACGGAACATAGAAAGTAGCCCTGCATCTGTCTGTTACGGAGCATAGAAATACTGTCTTTTATACACATTTTAAGGATGTTTGTTACTTTACTTTTGAATCTCCATTCCAAAAAAGTTCTACTTCTAAGTGGTTTGTTACGGGACGTAAATCTTGAAAAATGCACAGATATAATGAAGAAGGTAGTTTTAGTGACATTTTATGAGTTACTGAATTTGTTTATTTTTATTTTCTTGAGCCTTTACCATTTTTTCACTTTTCCGTACCATATTATCTAAAGTACTGCACAATTTAAAATGAAACACACTATAATTTTCTTGTGCTTGCTGTTAAGCCTAGCCACTGGCTTAAACAGATCTTCCAGGTAAGGGTCCTTTCTAGTCTGTTATTTACCAGGTATCTAATAAACATTTTAATGTCTTATATTTTTTTAAGATATGTGAGTGCTGAGGGTTTCCGTGGCTGCATCAAGGATGTTCAGTTTGATAGTACGGTGTGGGATCTGATCAACAACAATGAGGCTAAGGGTGTTGTCCGAGGATGTCCAGAACAGGTAGGTGTGGCACGTCCATAGTTCACCTCATAATGTGTGGACATTACTATATTGGAGGAACCAAATGTGATATGTCCAAAATTTACCTCATACTATGTGGACATAACGTGTATTGACATGAAGTGGAGGAACCAAATGTGATACGTCCAAAATTTACCTCATACTATGTGGACATAACGTGTAGTGACATTAAGTGGAGGAACCAAATGTTACACGTCCAAAATTTACCTCATACTATGCGGACATAACGTGTATTGACATGAAGGGGAGGAACCAAATGTGATACGTCCAAAATTTGCCTCATACTATGTGGACATAACGTGTAGTGACATTAAGTGGAGGAACCAAATATAATACAAATGTTGTATGTTGTTGTTATTGTGTACACATTGGAGCCTCAATATTCCGTATAATTTGGCCAAAGTGGTTGCATACCTGGACAAGGATATATATAGAAAAAGGGCCAATCTGTCCCCTAAAATACTGACTGGAGCTAGCATGGAACAATCTGTCCTCCCAAAATAATGGCCACCTTAATCACTGAAATAGTGACATATTGATATCATAATTACTGACCTAGCAGGGACTAATATGAGATTTAGTTTGGGACATTTTACATTCTTTGTGATTTAGGGGGAGATTTTTACCCATTTTACATGAGGACCTTTACATCATAAAATTCAAAACTTTTTATTAACACATATATTAAATATACATACAAGTAATCCTTTCTGAATGTATAGAACTACACTTTTCAAAGTTTTGTCATTTTGTTAATCAGTTTTCAAATACAAGAACATGTTCTGATTGGAGAAATCATTTAAAAAAAAATTGCAGAAAATCAGTATATTTTTCAGCTCGAAAGAAAATTATAAGAGATGGTACATTTTTCATCCCGGGGAAATTTACCCATAAACAGTATAGAAAACTGGTTCCTTGTCTTTTATATTGATCTTTTCATGGATCGTATTTGTTTCATAATAATTACAATCTTATAAGTCAAAACTGAAATATCCAAACTGCCGAAGATACCTCAATGAGACTTCAATTTATATTATTCATTATTTTTTCCTATCGTTAACATTTATATTAAAATATTTTTACAGATGCTGAGAACAGCGACGTTTGGAGGAGACATTCCGGGCCACATTGCCATACCAATGGATAGCATCGGTGTCAACTTTGATGTTACATTCAGGATGAAGACTGTTTCTAACTCCAGTCTGCTTATGTATACCTCAGATAATAATCAGGTACTTACGCTCTAACCAGCTGTCAACATTACCTTCATAAAAATCACATGTATTTGCCACCCCGTTACAATACTATCTGCTCCCTACCGCCTCGGCTAGGGACAAGTTCTCGGAAGATTCAGTGCTTAATTAAGGCATACTCGGGTCAGATCATTGTACATTGAAGTTAAAAATGGAGCCATTAATGGGCCCAAGCCTGGAAGTCCACATAGAAAGGTATTCAAACAACTTTTTCTTCTCTATTACAGAATACTGTGTTTTCCGTGTCGACATCCATGGGTAAGATCATTGTTACAGCTGACCCCGGGGGCGACCTCACGCGTCTGGAGAGCAAAGTGAAAACCTACAATGACGGGAATTGGCATTACATCTCTATAATGAAGATGGGCAGAAAGTGAGACCATTATTTATAACTCCAAATGTTTATCCTTAATTCAACTGTTTGATAAAACAACTTCAGTCTTATATTTTTCATTTGATGGAGGAAAGTGGTTTTTGTTTTAAATATCATTTGAATTTACCACTTACCTCTCCTTCAATTCTCATCAGTCTGTTATCTGCTAAATTATCTGTTTCAGAATTTGGTACACATGTTTTTGGAAAATCTTATTGATATATACATATGTATTTAATTTTTCAGACTAATGATGAACATTGATGACAAGGAGATCATTGAGAACCCCACACAATCTTTAGAAGAGGAAATTATTACCCAGCGACCTATTTTCTTCGGCGGCACCGACTTCTCCGTGCCTGAATCCTCTGTTGGTGCAACAGCTCCCTTCTTTGGCTGTATCTCCGACATTACCATCAACGGAAAGTAGGTCTTGTTTTAGTATGTCCAACTTAGGGTATTCATTTGATTTAAATCCTGTATTTAGTTTCAACCTGGAAAATGATCTTCAAATTTTATACTAAATTAGAACAGAATGATATAGCACTATGAAACAGATATGAGCAACGAGTTGATATTTTTCAATATAAATCAAAGTTATTTGCAACAAGCGGTTTGCAATTCAACTCGATTAAAACGTCAACCTTGCTGTCTTAAACCATGAATTCATTGCTCAAATTTTCTTCATTTCAGATTCAAAAACTTTGCAAGCATACAGAGTCAGAATATAAGGGCTGTTACCCTGGGTGACTGTTCTGAATCACAACCCAGCGGACCAGTGGTGTTACCACCTGTTGTCACACCTAAGACAGGTACAGTTGTTCTCCGTGTTCAGCCAGAAAAAAACCTTTTTGTTCAGAAAAACATGACACAAATTCTTGAATGTTTATAATAGACATAAAAAAATAAACTTCAATTAAAAGTAGTGTCCCCTAGCCCTTTTCTGGTCTGAGTGTTCCCTCCATTCAATCGTGTTCACTGGTTGTAGGTCCGCCTGAACCAACAACTCCGACAGCAGTCCGACAGTGTGCCTTATCAACAGACGTGGACATCTCCCCTCAGCAGGGTGCTGTGTCTGGGAAATTGTTTGGCACATTCACCGAGAGTCGTGAGGAATATGCTTTGGTTCCAGCAAGTATGACCGTCAGGTATGTGTTATGTGTTAAAAACGATATGAAGGATCAGTGTATTGGTTAAGTCTCTGGCCTTCCCAGGTGGCTAAGGTCATAGATGTCGACCTCTGAAACATGCATACAGGTAGATATCCCTCTGAGCACATACCTAAGGAAGGTTTTTCATCATGAACTTTCCAGAAAAGCAGGGAGATGTATTTGAAGGTGCTGCAGCTTATATCTGTTCGGAAATTTGAAGATTTCCAATAATAATGTTGTCCTTCTCTGTCAGCTATAGAGTATTGTGTTATTGGAGACGCAAATCATTTTTATACGCCTCTCAAATTTGACAGGAGTGTTATCGTATGGCTCTGTCATTCCGTCCGGCGTAAACTTTTGTTTGTCCGGCAATCTCCTCCTACATTTTTCAATGGATCTCTTTGAAACTTGGTATACATTATAATCATGATATGAAGTTGTGTCTCCCTTAAAATAATTTTGATTTGACAATTTTTCCAAAAGTTATTGCCCTTTGTTCATTTTAGTATTTGAATTTTTGTCCGGAGATCTCCTCCTACATTTTTTGACAGATTTCTTTGAAACTTTGTAGGCTAAATAATCATGATATGTTGTTGTGTTTTCGTGAAAAGAATTTTGATTCGACGAATTTTGCAAATGTTATTGCCCTTTGTTCATTTCAGTATTTTTTTTTTTTATCCAGAGATTTTCTCCTACATTTTTATAGCATGTCAGCTAACCACTCTTTGAATGATGCAGATCTTATTTCAATATAAGAAAGTATATAACACTTTATTATATAATATAAGGCTTCTGAAGTGCAATAAAGGGGTGCAATAAAATTGATATTGAACGTGTGCAATAAAGATGCAAATGAGCGCGCGACACCGTGGGAACTAGGTCGTATTCCTACGCACTACTACTACTACTACTACTATAGTATAGGCCTACTACAACATGGCTGACGTAAACATTGGGGATTCTGTTCGAATTGACGGCAAAGGTAGGGGCACAGTACAAGAACTTGTTCCAATGGGATTTGCAACATTTTATAGAGTTTTAATCGAGGGAAGTGATATTGAGGTTGACTTGCCAGGTGATCGGTTAGAGCCAATACCCCAGACTATGACTC